CTTCCAGGGAAGGTCTAGGACCGCCCCTGAGCAGGATGTCCGGCAAAGAGGTGGGGCAGAGCCGACCCTGGGAACCAGCCAGGGGCCCGCGCTGGTCATCTCCAGAGTCCATGTCGGACAAGCCGGGCGTCAGTGGCCAAAATCCCAGACATTCCAGAAGCTGGTCTGTCTGGGGGTGGCCTTGCTAGCCGGGCATCTGTACCTCGCGTTTGCTGCCCCGTGTCCAGAGGAGACGTGGTCTCTGAGCATCTGTCTGCTCTCACAGCTCGATCGCTCCGTCCTGGAGGCTCTCCCGCCCGACCTCCGGGAACAGGTGGAGCAGGCATGCGCGGTGCAGCAGGCGGAGCCGCCGGGCGAGAGGAGGAGAGAGCCCGTCAACGGCTGCAGCACAGGGATCCTGCCACAACCCGTGGGGACTGTGCTGCTACAAATACCGGCACCTCAAGACCCTAACAGCGACACGGGGATTAATTTAATAGCCCTTCCGGCGTTTTCCCAGGTGAGTCTGTGCGGCCGTCCAGCCCCAAGCACTTCTCTTCTCCTCTGACCCTCCCAGGCAGGGCCTGGCCCCTGTGGAAGGAGGGCTGCCTGCCTCCACATCACCCGCGGTACAGACACTGACAGAGCAGCCAGGACACCAGGGCGGAGAGGAGGGAGGCTCTGGTGTGGGGGTGCCCAGAGCTCCCCCCAAAGAAAGAACAGTCTGCTGTTCCTGGGCCCCCTCAGTACCAGGGACAACAGCAGTCAGGGTTTGAGGTTTCAGGTGCATTACATACACAGCTGTTTTCTTGCATTTTGCTCCCCTTTTTCTTCTAATGCTTCTTGCTCTGGTTGTTTTTGTTCATCAATTCATATTCAAAGTTGTATTCCTTATTCTCAGCCTAAAACTTTGTGAGAATTTAATGAGCTTTGATAGTGAGGACCTATTAAGAATTCATACAGATCAGAAAAGTATGATTTGAAATACTTAGTGAAGAACATAAACCAGTTGCCTATGGCCAGCCCAGGTCTGACTGAACCTTCTCCTTTCCGCCAGGTGGATCCAGAGGTGTTCGCGGCTCTTCCTGTGGAGCTTCAGAAGGAGCTGAGAGCAGCCTACGATCAAAGGCAGCGTCAGGGCGAGCATGCCCCTCCCCAGCAGCCGGCCAGCGCCCCGGGTGAGCTGTGCAGGTTTCCCGGGCCAGCAGTGAGGCTGGGAGAAGTGAGCGTGTGGTTGGGTTGGCGGGTGTGAGGGCCTGGGGCAATCGCTCAGTCCTGTTTGTGCTCCACACCTCAGACAGGACTAGGGACTAGCCCATGGTCCAGGGGAGGCTGCAGAGTCCCAGGCAGACTCGCACCTGGAACTTCTTACATCTGAACAAGATACCACCCGGAAATCTTCTAAATTATGTTATCCGTTGAGACTGCTCCTTGTAAGGATGTAGCTTTTAAAACACAGAATCTGAAGGTTTTCTGAACATGCATCACAAACACCACATTTAACACCTCACTGACCTGGGGATTTTTGCAGTGAGTGATTTGTTATGTAAGTGAACACTGAAATACCTCTGGCCAGTAACATTCCATTCCAATAACAAAAGGCATATAATAACAAAAGGCATTAAGTCTCTGGTCAGAAGTCATTTCAATAAGAAGTTGTTCAAATGAAAACAATAATAGTGCTGCTGAACTGTTGGAAGTAGTTCACCCGATTCCATTGACTCCTGTGAGCGCCCCCAGATAGATAAGCAGAGGCCATGAGCACCTGGCTGAGCAAACCCTAGGAAGTGGGGCTGTTGTCAGCAGCCGCCCTCAGGCTGGGCCCACGCCTGTGTGCAGGGCTGCGCGTGCAGAAAAGGGACCTGCGGTGCTCTCCCTTCTGGCATGTTTGTTGAGGGTCTTACATCCATCTTCCTCTAGTGCCAAAGAACCCGTTACTGCAGCTAAAACCAGCAGCGGCGAAAGACAAGAAAAGAAACAAGAAAAAAAGTCCCCTCAGCCCCCAAAGAAAGATTCAGAGCCCTCTGAAAACCACGCTGGTTAACAGCCCGGCGAAGACCCAGCCAGGGGCCTGCACAAGTCCCCAGAAGCTCATTGATGGGTTTCTAAAACAGGAAGGTTCCACATCAGAGAAACCTCTGGTAACTGTTCTACACTTTTTAAACTTTGACCCCTTCCTTCATCAGCTCCTCCTGTACCGGATGTTATGTAAATCCAGCACTTGTTATCATTTGTTTTCTTAACAGGGAGAACTCTCTGCTTCCACTTCAGGTGTTGCTGGCCTTTCTGGGTTGCAGCCTGACGTGTCCACAAGTGTCAGGCCCCCTGTGCCCAACCTGGCTGGAGCCGTGGAGTTCAGTGACGTGAAGACCTTGCTCAGAGAGTGGATCACCACCATCTCAGGTTGGTGGCACTGGTGTTGGTCCTGAGATGTGCCAGCCTCGCAGGCGTGCAGAGCATGACCTCGGCTAGAGGGAGGGACTCGTTTCCGGGGTCTGTAAGCCAGCCTCTGACACTTACCTCCCCGCCGTCTGCACTGTGGGGTTGGCTCACTACAGCCCCCCGGGGTGAGGTCTCCCCACCGTCCCCACTGAGTGCGGCCTTCCCCTTCAGAAGGACAAGCTGGTCCTCACACGTGCTGTCCCTGCTCTAGATCCGATGGAGGAAGACATTCTGCAAGTTGTAAAGTACTGCACTGATCTAATAGAGGAAAAGGATTTAGAAAAATTGGACCTCGTTATAAAATACATGAAAAGGTAAACTACTCAGCACTTTTACCAACATGTCTGTCACCACAGCTCGTGGGGTGGGGGAGGGTGGCAGGGGGTGCAAGCAGGCTGCACTCCTTCTGGGCATCCCTTAGGTTAACTGTGCTCCTCAGAGTTACTGATGTGAGCGCGCTAAGTTCATTTTGAACACCCACCAGCTAATGTTGACTGGGGAGTAAAAGGGGTCAAAATGAGATTGTTCCTCCTCTGAGATACAAGTCAAACCATGAAAGTACCTTTTTGAGTGTTTATACTGAAGATGTTAAAGCCCCTAACCTTTATGTATATATACGCTAACCTCTCCTCTCCTGCCTGTAGGCTGATGCAGCAGTCGGTGGAGTCGGTTTGGAATATGGCATTTGACTTTATTCTCGACAATGTTCAGGTGGTTTTACAGCAAACGTACGGAAGCACATTAAAAGTCACATGAAGATGAATTACCAGGGAGCCTGGCGCTCTCCACTAGCTGTGCCATAAGTGCTTGTGAGGTATTTGCAAAGTGCATGATAGTAATGCTCTGAGTTTTATAATTTTAAATTTCTTTTTAAGCCAAGTGTTTTTGTACATTTCTTTTCAGTAAGTGCCAAATTTGTCAGTATTGCATGTAAATAATTGTGTTCTTTTACTGTAGCATAGATTCTATTTACAAAATGTTTGTTTATAAAGTTTTATGGATTTTTACAGTGAAGTGTTTACAGTTGTTTAATAAAGAACTGTATGTATATTTTGTACAGGCTCCTTTTTGTGAATCCTTTAGGAAGCAAATCCTGAACTGTTCTGCTTAGAGAGGCTGAAACCCTCCCAGGCGGACAGTTACAGGCTCCATGCTAAGCTCTGAAATCCCTGAGCGCCCTGACTGGTGTTCTGCTTGTGCCAACCAAGCAAGGGTAAAGAAAACGTGCACTCACTCACTCCTAACCCAAAGCACCAACACAGGACCATGTTAAGAAAATCTTCTTTACTTCTTCCAAGCGGAGGAATTTACATATTCTGAATTAGAACACACACACACAATGAAGACTAAGTTTTTCCTGGGAAAATTATGTCCCCCAGATGGTTTAGAGGTTTTCTCTTTGCCTCTACTGGCCCTTGAGAAACTTCAATAATGATGAAGAATGAATGGTACAGATTTTCAAATGTATATAAAAGTATTCGTCTATGCTATATGTTATTAATACTTTAAAAATATAGTTTATATTTCTATGCCAGTGAATACTTGGGAACACCTGCTATCCAACACCCACACTGACTTCATTCAACACTGTGCTATAGAAGGTAGTCAGGTACTAGTCTGATGCTAACAGACTGCTTATCTCAGGGACCCACTTCCCATATTCTTCAGGAAAACCTTAGGGGACTAGCTACCACCAAATTACTAATATGAAGAAACTGTTATGTCTCAGTATTTCTAAGCTGTTACAAAGTCCAGACAGTTGATCAACACCCTACTGATTGTCTCATCAGAAAATGTATGCATGATAGAACCTGCTAGGACAAAACAGACCCAGACTGATGTATAAAAACCCCTCATGTTAATCAGACAGTTCCTGTCCTTGAGAGAACGTGCTATACCAGGAGGAGACTTGGGAGAGCAACTATGCTGACAGGAAGGGAGCCCAGCGGTGCTTGCAGGCAGCCTCTGGGTTCTTTCTTGGAATTGCGGACAGTGCTGAGAACTGTGGACTCTCATGACCAAACAAGCCGGCGATGCTTTGACACTGATTTCACACAAAGCAGATAAAGAAATATCAAGAAAGCCTAATTTTCTATTTAAAAAAATTCCTAAGGGCATATGGCAGAAGAACGCTGGGAGAAGAATCACTGGGAAGGATATGCATAAATAAAGACGTGTTTCTTACCTCAAAAAAGTCCCAAGAATCACAAAATCTGCAGAAGCTTGGTTAATCAAATACTGCAGTACTGATTTAATCAGTATAAAATTGAAAGAGCTTTCGATCTGTAATAAAAATCCAAATTTGGGGAAGGAAGGGCAGACTTTAAAACAGCAGCCAGTAGAGGGGGGCTGGGGGGGCGTGGGCGAGTGAGCAGGCACGTCGGAGCTGTGGGGACGCGTATCGACCACTGTCAAACCAGTGTAGTTTCTTGGTTTCCCATGGAAAACATTTTATACACCTAGTTTTTTCTTTTATACTTAAGGTCAATCAGTGTTCCGACAGGTCCATTCCTTGTTTTTCTTGGTGATATTACCACATAATATTAAGCTGACTCCAATTCCTGCCCCGGGTGGAAAATTTAGATGATCTCAAACACTTTCTTCAGCTCCACAATAAGCTGCCAGTCACTCTTCTGCATCTCGTCTCTGAACCAGTCTTTGAGGGCGTCGATGGACTGCCGGCTGATCTGCAAGGCCCGAGGCAGACAGTAAACAAAACCACATCACAAACGAGTGCCGGGTACTGTCGTCACCAAGAAAGCTCAGGCGGAACTTAACCAAGGCAGAGGCCCAGTGTCCCCGACCCTGCTCGGCCAGTCGGGCAGAGGGGACCCAACCTAGATGTTCCAGCGGGTGCTCTGAGGAGGCTGGACGCCAGGCCAAGCCTTAATGAAGAATCCAGTCCCTTCAGGTTCTAAACATCCGTCCTCCGCTCCCGAGTAAAGTCATCGGAAGAGCTGAGAACCCCCTCCCTTAACTGCTGAGTGAGCGGCTTACCTTACTGACGAGAATGTCTGTAGCTTCAAAATGGCGTCCGTACATTTTGGGAGATTCGCCAGGGATGGGTTCTATTTTGACACAGACTTCTTGTCCTTTTTTCGCAACATCCACTTGTTTATGGTTTACTTCAATACTCGTTACTATTCCAATGTCAACAAACTGTAAAGAACAGAAACTGCGGTGTGAGCGGAGGCACTGAAACAAGCCTGGGGTGCGCGCTAAGCCAGCTGCCCTCAGCCACAGTGAGGGCAGCCACAGCACCACTCTGCTGCCTGGATCCCTATCCAGGAAAACACGAGTGAACACGGAGTCTAGTTTGGCTAAAGCCACACCAGCGGCCCCTGCTTCCAGGAAGTGTCTAGCTCAGCCCACTGAGACGGTGGAGGAGCGATGACCCCGAGGAGCAGCTGAGTCACGGTGCGCAGAGGACGGCAGGGCCCCCGCCCACTCGGGAGCCAGGTCTCCTGGGGCACCTTAGTGCACCAGCAAGGGGGAGAAGGCTCCAAGTGCCACGGGCAAGCACATGAGGACCAAACACCGGATAACTGGGGTACCAAGGGAGACAAACCCTTGTGTACAAGATGCCTGAAGCAAAGTCCAGGGTGGGGAGAAGGCATAAACATTGCCCAGGGGAGGACAGTGAGTGCTAAGTGGGGCAAACCTGTCCCTGATGGAGATGCTGAGTGGCCTTCCCAGTCTCTGTAACCTGCACCCAGTCACATGGGAACCACCAGACAAATCCAAGCTGAGGAGCCCTCTGTGAAACTGCTGGTCTGGACTCTTCAAAAAGGATGACGGGCTGTTCCTGATTGAGATCGAAGCGCTAATAACCAGACCCCGCACATCTGGACGGAGCCCTGGGCCGGATCAGCAAACAACATGACCAAAGACATTTTGGGCATTATTGGTGAAGTGTGAATGAGAACTGTGAATTACAGGGTTTTACTCAATGTTACTTTTCCTTAGGTATGACGCTAATCCAGAGGAAAGATCAATGAGTGTTCATTATTCTAGTCTGAATTTTCTCCCAGACTCAGAAGTATCAAGGTTGATAATTCTGCAGCTTTCATTACTTCAAGCACTGACACCAGGAGCTGAGAATCGACACTGATCAGGAACTGGCACCGAGGAATAACGTGCAAGGAGGGACAGGCTCTGCTGGGTTTTCTGTCGTCACTCCTGAACTACCAGAACTGCTTTAAGAGAAGACTTTTCTAAGTACACCCAGAACTTACATTTTTGCTGGGCACGCACATGGGTGTCCCCTGCTTCACTTGCCCTGCTTCCACAGTCACGCCCATCACTATCGGATCCCGAGAATTGAAGATAAACTGAGGGAGGATCTTTATCTTGCAGGGGAATACTGCTATGTGCCTACAAGAATAAAACCCAAGAATTTTTAAGCTTACAGAATCACTTAAGATGCATGAAAAAGCAAGCACAGGTGACTATGAGACGTCACCTCCCCTCAGGGGAGGGCAACAGGTAGGCTGGCCCCCACTCAGGCCCTGCTGGCCAGCCCCACTTACATCCCGCCTGGACTATGGGGGCTGCCCGCTTCTCTGCACGTGCTTCCCGCTGCTCTCCCCGAGGTCACCGGTGCCTCCACCCCAGCACTCATCCTGATGGCCAGGGCTGTTCTCACCCCGCCGCCCCCTCCCCAGCCACACTGTCAACCTCAGCTTGCCTGAGGCCCTTCCTTGCTTTACCCTGCTTCTCCCAGCTTCTCCCATGTTCTCTGCTCATCTTCCCTGAGCTCCAAGAGAAGGGACCTGCCAGGGTCACCCTTGGATCTTTGCTGGAAGAGTGGAGCTCCTTCACTTTCTAATTCCCCATTCACGCTGGTCCACGCGACCCCAGATGAGGACCCCCAGCAAGATGCATCCCCAGCCCGTTCATGCAACCTAGGTCTGCCGACTGGAAAACCAAACACTAAACAGAAACGTTACAGAGAGCGTGGGTTCACACACTGTGCGTCTCAGGTGGGCCTGATCTGTGGTAACACATCTCTGCAGGACGCAGCCTCCAGGAGATCAAGTGCCATGCTTGTGCTGCAGACAGTCACGTCATCAGCAGTGTTAGCACAGATCCAAAGTAGGTACAATTACCAACTTACTTAAATTCTTCCTGTTTCTGTTTCTTGTAGTCTTGTCTGTATTTCGTAAAGGCATCAAATAAATGATAAATAATTTCTGCACTAAAAATTCTAACTCCTAAACTGTCAGCCATTTCTTGCGCATCCCGTTCAATTCTCACATCGAAGGCCAAAATCACTGCATACCTGCAAGGTTAAAACACATCAAGAATTATCTGATGAAATACAGACCGTGTCTCAACAGTCCTACTCAATCAAACAGGCAGCATGCAAGCCTTCAGCGCAGAGAAGTGACTTACTGAGGGTCGTGTTCCAGCATCACCGAAGCCTTCATGACATCTTTTTTGTGGACAGGCCCAATGTTGATCCCTGCATACTGTAAAAAGGGGGTTTCCCAGTTCAGATGCCTGTGTCAGGTGATGGGACAGCCTCCCCAGACAGCGCCTCCCACTGAGTCCTGGGGAGTCAGCCCCATGACTTACGGGCACTTCTGATGTCTTCAGAAATTCAAGGAGAGCTTCCAGAGATCCCAGGGTCGAGGCCTGGACGTAGACGCCTTTCTCTTCTAATTTGATAGCATTCAGTGTCTGCTTTAACTCGTGGATCAGCTCATCCTTGAGAAGAAACGACATTTGACAAGATTATAAATACACCATCTCAGCAGCCTAGAATTAAACTGTTTCTCTTTTTGATTAAGTGTTCATCTGAAAATATAACCCAAGGCTGAATGCGGGCAAGGCATGGTAAACTTGTGCAGGAAGGGAAGAAGAGATGTGGGTGCAGACCTGGGCTGTTAGGCTGACTAATGTTGGGATGTGTGATACCTCTGCACCACCGTGGCAGAGTAGATGTAAAGCAGATGGATGAGAGGAATGATATAATAATCTTCTGGAAGATAAAAGTACTGATGTAATGTGGTACAGGAGTCCTAAGCCCAGCGGGTTTGATGATCAAACCCCCTCATCTCAACAGTCCTTTATTTCATCACTGTTCCTTAGAAGGTGAAGAGACTTTGACCAGAGGTCAGTAAAATCACCCTGTCGTCGTCATGAAAGCCCCGTCCATGGCCTCCCAGAGACTGGCGAGAGGGACGCCCTGTCCTCACTGGTCCTGAAGTGGCCGACTCCCTGAGCACAGTGCCTGGGCGCTGCCTCAAGGACAGTGGCCCCAGCACACAGGAGCCCTGTGCAGGCAACAGGGGTGTTTTCTCTTCACGAGAGAACAGTCATGTCTCAGCATTTGCTTCTGTGAAGCTCCACTGGGCTCATGTGCGCCACCTGCTCCTGGAAACAGGCAGACGGACTTTAAAAGGACCTCTAGAGCCCAGTAAAAGATCCGTTAGTTCTGCCTCTATGACTGAGTCAAAGTGGCTCAGTCGTGTCCGATCTTTGCAACCACACGGACTATAGCCCGCCAGGCTCCTCTGTCGGTAGAATTCTCTAGGCCAGAATCGTCGAGTGGGGTGTCATCCCCTTCTCCAGGGGATCTTCCCAACCCAGGGATTGAACCCAGGTCTCCTGCATTGCAGGCAGACTGTTTACCCACTGAGCCACCAGGGCCACCAGGTATAGCACCAGTCTATTAAAAAAAATAAACACAAATGGAGAACTTCCAGTTTCTGGGGTTTTTTTTTTTGGACCATTTTTAAAATCTGTACTGAATTTGTTTCTGGTTTATGTTTGGTTTTTTGGCCGTGAGGCATGTGGGACCTTAGTCCCCCGACCAGGAATTGAACCTGCAGCAAAGTCTTCACCACTGGACCACCAGGGAAGTCCCTGATTCATTTTTTAAATAAAATGTTCTAACTTTAATGTATATAAATGATCATTTATGCCAATTTGTGATTATACAAACGGAAGTAATTCTAAACCATCAACCATTTGTTAAGAGGCCCAGATAAGTCTCCATAAAGACAAAGGTGCCTATTTTATTCTTCATTCTCAGCATGTGCCCTCCTCACACAATATACAACACAAAACATCACTGGAGGAAGAAATAAATGAACTTACTTTAAGAACTGGGATTTCATCTTCTTTATAAGCCACGAGGAGGGGTAAGCCAGCCAATGTTTTTTCCAGGTCCTTCCCAAGAATCTTTACCCCCTGCGCGGCTTCTACCTCTTTATGCTTCTCATACTGGTTCTACAGAGTCAAAACAGTTGTTACTACGTTTACATGAAAGGTGGCTAGCAGGGGACAAGGACGATAGATGACACTGTCATGACTTTGGGACAGGAAGAGTTTGCTAAAGTACATGCAAAAAGAAATAAATACCCATCAAAGACTGATAACATTAAAGCTAAGTAACGTTGATTCCAAAGATACCACAGAATGAGTAAACAAACAAATCACAGCAGCAAATGCCACAATACTTACTGCTAATTACTTATCTAGTTAATGCCAGTAACTAGATAGCTATGTGGAACCAAAACAGCATACTTGTGATTTTTATGAGGAACTCTGTTGGTAAGTAAGAACTTTCTCAAATCTCTACTCTAATAGAAGGTCCTTTCTGTATGAAGACACCTGGAATTTAACCAGTGAGGGGGGTGTGTGTGCATTAAAGCAGGTGGCTCTCAAAGGGAGGAACAACCCCAGCAGAACTTCTCTGTACAAGTCCTGTGCGCCGATGCTCACCACTCTCTTAACTCCTTCATGTGACTCACCTTCACTCTTAACTCCTTCATGGGGGGAGGTAACAGGAGGCCTCGGATCTGCGTGACGATAGGCCCTTCTACTCCAGGAACAATAATCGTGTCTCCTTCCTTCAGACGCCCATTGATCAGTATTACGTCAATAGTCGTGCCCATTCCCGGGAGAGCCTTAACCTAAGAGACATTGTTGTAAATGGGGTGAAACACAGGCTACAATGAACCATATTGATTAAATCGAGAGCAGTCCACGGCCCCACCTGAAAACCCCTGCTGGAGGGGGGGGTGGATTAAACTGAATAGCTGGCATTACCTCCATCACCTGGGCTCTCAGCTCCTCACACTGGGCAAGTCTCTTACTCAACATGGTCTGAGTCAACTCGACAAGAAGGCAGATCAGACTTCCCATGCCATCACCAGTATGTGCAGAGGTAGGTACCAAGGACACAAAAGTTCGGGGATCCTTATTCTCATAAAACAAAGCTGCATTCAGCCCCTAAACATAAAAGCAAAGTCACTGGTACAGGCCATGGGGAGGAAGGTCTCCAGAACAGAAACCACTAGCTGGAAGCTGGATGAATTCTGAAAACTCCTCACCAACACCTGGATCACATGAACCCTGGAGGTATTAATCATCGTACAGAAAAGCAGCTTCTTTCCACGTCAGCTTGGTTTTTAACATTTGTTTAAATGTTAAAAATTCAGACTGCAAAGAGAGGTCTTTGAAATAAAGAATTTAAAAGGAGACTGGAGAAGAGAATGAAAAATGCTAAATGCCATGCATAGGGAAACAGAACCAGTATCAATCAAAGTACTGGCTTGATTATAAAGACATGGCAAAAGAAGAAAAAATCTCCTATGATGTGCTCTCTTGTAAAGAAGGGAAGCTTTCTGACCTGCTGCGCAAACTCCACAATGATCGCCTTGGCCCGCTCCTCGAATTCATCTCTGGTGTTCTTCTTCTGCTTCTTCAGAGTAGCAGCCACGTCAGAGTCAGGACTCTTTTTCCAATCATACAACCTATCGATCTAGAAACATTTTTTTATGTAAGAAGCATTTCTAAAGCACTCACAAAGCTCAGCACGTTAATAACTAAGGTTAATGTAAAAGCTCCAGGAAATCCAAATGTGTATCACACACATGTGGAAGAGTGTGTACTACTCAGACATTTCATGGAACCAAAAGTCCCAATCACATGCTTAGCTGCACCCCCTCTTAATGAGAAACTGAAGTACCACACTGCCCACTGGCTTCCAGCCAGTTCATGAGAGGCTGCCATTTATTCCAAAATATCCTGGGAACATTAACATATGCTGGAATTCCAAAATGGTTAAGTAGCTGACAGAAAAAAGGATTAATTACAGCCAAGTACATCACCAGGAAAATGACATGAAAAACATGGAAAACAGACAATTATTTCCTACCTCAGAGAACACCCCATCATTACCTGTTTTATTGCTCAAATTAGGGTTGAATCTGTTTAATTAAATAATCTATTTTCTCTCACTTTTCAAGAGTGACAAACGGGTATAAAGAGGAAAATTATTTAACAGTAAAAACAAAAAAAATATCTTATGTTGGCTCAGTCTAGGGTGATAATACAAAGTAGCAGACCAATCTGAATGCTAACAAGAAGGAAAATCAGTAGAAACAGACCCAGAAATGACAACGATGAGATATAATTAGCATCACCTCTGAGCCACCAGGGAAGCCCCCCAATTAGTATCCAACGGCCTTAAAACAGTTATTATAAATATACTCAATGACTTTAAAGGAAAGGCATATAACCCATAGAGCTAAAAAGTGTATATATACATATATAAAATCTGAACTAAAAAGAAAAAAAAAAAATCCCTGATTGAACTGAAGCAGGTGACACAATGCCAAAGATCAGCAAATAAGATAAAGCAAATAAAAACTACCCCAACTGAGGCACATAGAAAAAAAATCATGGAGAAAAAGAAAACTTCAGTAACTTCTATAAAACAATATTAACAGAAGTAACTCAGGGTCTAGAAAAGCTCTAGAATTCTATCAAACACTTAAAGAATAAGAGAAGAGAGCAGAAAAATAACTGCACAAATAATGACCAAGAACTTTCTAAGGAAATCAAACTGAAGCAGGATAAATATAAAGAAAACTATTACATAATCTCACTGACAAAATTCTTAAAGAAAAAGTCTTTTTAAAAGCAGTCCAAAAAATCCCACATTACATACTGTGGAACAAAGAATGAGTAGAGATAAAAGCCAGAAAGTGATGATGATGAAGGGCAAAAAAAATTTTTTAACCTAGAATTCTGTATCAACAAAACTATTTGTAAAATATTTTTACCTGTGATAATAAAAACACAGTACATCTAAGCAATGTTTTTAACAGTGCTAAGCATAGCTTTAAAGGCTTGTGTTAGAAAAGAAAAAAATATCTGAAAGCTTCCATTTTAAGAAGCCAGAAAAAGAACAATGAATACAAATGTAAGCAGAAAGAAAAAAAAAAAATGATAAAAATTACCCCTGAAATCAAAGAAATACAAAATAGACAAACAGTACAGAATATCAATAAAACCAAAAGCTGGTTCTCTGAAAGACACAGATTTCTATACTAACAAAAGGAAAGTAAAAAAATAAACAAACGCAGCTTACTTAAACTCCATGCTGATGTGGCTTTACTAATGAATGCTATCAAATACCTAAAGAATAATATTTCTATACAAACCCTTTCAGAAAACAGAGGAGGAAATACTTCTTACAAAGTCTTATAAGGTCATTATTCTGAAAACCAGACAAAAGATATTAAAAGAAAACTATACACCAAAATCACTCACAGATAGACACAAAAATCTTCCCACATAAAAAAGTTAGCAAATCAAATCCAGCAAAACATAAAAAAAATATACTATGACCAAATGGGTGTTGTTCCAGTAATGAAAAAGTTGGTTTAATTTTTAAAAAGGCAATGGTAAAGAACAAATGGTGCTGGACCAACTGGATGTCCACAGGCAAAACACTGAAGAGACACACAAATCTCACACCCTTCACAAAAAAGTTAGCTCAGAAGGGATCATCTAAATGTAGAACACCGAACTCTAAAACTCTTTAAACAGGAGAAACCCAGATGACCTTGGCCATGGTGATGACTAGATACACCAAAGGCATGATCCATGAAAAAAAGAACTGATAATCTAGACTTAATTAAAAGCTTTTGCTCTGTGAAACAGAGTCAAGAGAGTGAGATAACAAAGCACAGACTAGAAGAGAATATTGGCAAAATAACATGTGGATGAAGGAACAATATCTAAAATATACAAATAAGTTTTAAAATTCAACAGTAAGTAAACAAAGAATCCAATTTTTTAAATGGGCCAAAATGCTTAACAAACACTTCACCAAAAAAGATACACAGATGGTAAACAGGTACATGCAGAGATGCCATCTTATGTCACCAATGAAATACGAATTGAAACAAGATACTACTACACACCTATTGGGCTTCCCTGGTGTCTCAGCTGTAAAGATCTGCCTGCAGTGCAGGAGAAGCCGGTTTGATCCCTGGGTCGGGAAGATCCCCTGGAGGAGGGCATGGCAACCCACTCCAGTGTTCTTGCCTGGAGAATCCCATGGACAGAGGAGCCTGGTGGGCTACAGTCCATGGGGTCACAAAGACTTGGACACGACTAAGCACACCACACACCCATTAGAATGGCCAAATTTCAAAACACAACACCAAAGGCTGGTGAGGATGAGGAGCGATGGGAACTCTCCTCCACTGCTGGTGGAAATACAACATGCTACAGATACTCTGGAAGACAGTTAGGCAGCTTCCTACAAAAACTAAACACTCTGACCAAACAGCCTGGCCATCACGCTCCACTGTTATTTACCCAGGAGTTGAAAACTTAGGTGCACACAAAATGGCTACAGCAGCTTTATTCATAATTATCAAAACTGAGATGTCCTTCAGCGGGTGAATGGATAAATAAACTATAGGCCATCCTGACAATGGGATATCACTCAGTGCTAAAAAGAAAAGAACTATATCAAGTCATGGAAAAAGGACATGGAAGAAACTTTTATCACATTACTAACGGAAAGATAATCTGAAAAGACTACATACATACTATAGAATTCCAACCATATGACTACTCTGGAAAGGGCAAAACTAGGAAGACAGTAAGAAGATCAGTGGTTGACAAGGGGTGGGAGGCAGAGGGATGAACAGGTGGAGCACAGAGGATATCGAGGGCAGAGAAAACGATGTATGATTCTATACTGGTGGATACATGACACAGCTGTGCAAACCCAGAGCACGCACCGTAACAAGAGTAAATTTTAAGGTAAACTCTGGACTCCTGAGTGTGTCAGCACAGGTTCATCAGTTCCAACAAAGGTAGCACTTAGGTGGGGTATGTCGATCATGGGAACAACTATGGGAAAAGCTATGCATGTGTGGGGGCAGGGAGTGTACCAGAAATCTCTACTTTCCCCTCAATTTTCCTGTGAACTTAAAACTGTTCTAAAAAATTAGGACATTTAAAAAACAGCAATAAGCTTCTCACACCCTCAAAAAACATGGATGAATTCACAGAACCATAATCTTAAATGTAAAAAGCCAGACACAAAAGACTGTATTTTTTTTTTTAAAGACTATTTTGTCAAATTTCACTTACATGAAATTCAAGAACAGGCAAAACTAATCAATGGACATAGAATCTGGAACAGTGATTGCTATAAGGGGCTGGGAACTGACTAGAGTGGAGCACGCTAGTACTTTTGAGGTGATGGAAAGTTTTATGTCTTAATTCGGGCTATTTAACAAAGATGTGGGCTTCCCTGGTGGCTCAGGGGTAAAGAACTCACATGCCAATGCAAGAGACCTGGGTTCAATCCCTGGGTTGGGAAGATCCCTGGAGAAGGGAATGGCAACCCACTCTAGTATTCTTGCCTGGGAAATCCCATGGGCAGAGGAGCCTGGCGGGCTATAGTCCATGGTGTTGAAAAGGTCGGACACAACTGAACAACTAACACTTTAAAAATAAGGAAAAAGCAAATTTATAGAAAGAATAAAAATACTTATGTCACAGCTTTTCCACTTGGTAATAATTAACCTATTTTGAACCTTACTCTGATCAAATACTAGTCTTAAGACCTGACATATTTTATCACCTCTAATTCTTACAAAAATTCAATAATGCTCTATTTTGCAGGCAAAAAGAGGCTAATTAAGGCCATTTTTCTAAGTCTGAAGTGGTAAAGCCAGGATAAGAACCCAGGATTCAAACCCTGGACGCCAAGCTCTTAACCACTGTCCCACTCTGCTAACTCCGAGCTCTCAGGATGCTGCTTCTCCAGAAACAACAAAACAACAAAACACAGTCAGTTGACTAAGGTGGTGCCTACAGCAGAAGAGCAGGCTGAGGTCCTGTTAAGATTGTCAGTTTTTCTAGGAAAATTCTAGGAGTAAGGAGCAAATAGAGATTTCCAGGACACAACAAGACCAGAGTCACTGTGCTTGCTTAATTCAGATTTGCCCACCAATGGCCAAACCACGTTCTGGTGAGAAGTCAAAAGCACAGGCTTGTACGGTCTGGGAGAAAACTCCTAAGGGAGGACCTGACTGCATTTGAACAAAGCAGCATTCGAATGACCTTAATAAATTAAGGAAATTGGATTAAACACAGTTAAACTCCTAGAAGGAAAAAAATTAACAAAATGAAGTGGAAGGAAATGGTCTATCAGGTGTGCACATTATATAGTAAAAGACACGGAAACTATTCTAAGTTCAAACTGAACTAAGCAACCCACAAAACAGTCTTTCTCCAAAATTAACACAGTGGTTGGAATATATGGTAAGGGTTGAGTATGCAGCAGGCACTCACTAAATTCTTATTGTTACTATTTAACAGGATTTATGACTTAGAAAAGATACAAAACAACTCCATCTTACAACTGGTACTGATCAGAGCTTAATGAGAATCTTTATCTCTCTTCTAAAAAAGTGATGAACTTAGAAAGAATTCAGTTTCCAAAGGTCACCTAGTGAGGCTGGGTCTGTGAAGAAGGCTTAGTGGTCAGTCTCCTCCAGCTCTGTCCAAACCCAGAGAGTATACCACCACCAAGAGTGAACCATGAATTCTGAGTGATAACGATGCGTCAGCAGGGGTCATCAGTTGTAACAAAGGAATCTCTTCTGTGCAGGATGTCAATAATGGGGGAGGCTTTGCATGTGTGAAGACAGGGGTACTTTCCCCTCAATTTTGCTATGAATCTAAAAGTGCTCTAAAAATAATAAAGTTTCAATAACAAGAAGTAAGTCAAGTCCCCCAATCCCCACATCAACAGGAATTCTCACTGTTACTGAATAAAGGAGAAAAGCCACATGAGCCTATCAAGAGACAGAGAATGGGCATCTGACAAAAATCAACAACCATCTCAAGACAAATAAAAAACAATACTAAGTAACCTAGGAAGAGAAGGGAATGTCCTTTTTACCTCATGGTAAAAAATGGAAAACTTTCCCCTAAGATGGAGAAGAAACAAGGATGTCTGTCACCACTTTTATTCAGCAATATTCTAGAAGACCCAGTTAGTGCAATACAGAAGAAAAAAATTTATAAAGGATACAGATAAGGGAAAAAGTATAAAAGTTTTCATCAGCAGATCACATAATCATGTATTGACTTGACCAAAAAGTTCGTCTGGGTTTTCCCCAAACCTGGAAAACCTGAATGAACTTTTTGGCAAACTACAGAAAATTCCACATGAACTACAAAAGAGGACCCTAGGCCTAATCTACTGAATTTAAAAGGTCACAGGATAAAGGTCAATATATAAAAATCAACTGTATTTTTATTTAAAACTGATGATCAGAAATCCAAACAGCTGTTTACAGTAACACCAAAAGCATGAAATATTAGGGAAAATCTAGTAAAATATGACCAACACACAGACAATAAAAAACTATAGCATACAGTCGAGAGAAAGTAGCTGGAGAGACACACACCGTCTTCACTGACTGGAAGACTCAACTTTGCTAAAATGTCCATTCTCCCAGAATTTACCTACAAATACAACCCCAATAAAAATCCCAGAAGGTTTTTTGCAGAAAATAACAAGCTGATTTTAAACTTTATATGGAAATTCAGGGACCCTGAAATAACCAAAACAAATTTGAGAGATAAGAAGTTGAAGAACTTAACCACCATCTGCTTTCATGACATCACTATGAAACTACAATCATCAAGACAGGGAAGCAGTGGCGTAAGGAGGGACATAGAGGTCAGTGGAAGAGAAGAGAAATACCAAGAACAAACATGTACATGGTCGTTTTTAACAAAGATTGGAAGTAATTCAATGAGGGGAAGAATAACCTCACAAGGGGATTTTGAGGTGGATATACATTTTGAAAAAAGTGAACTTTGATTTCTACTTTATACCATGCAAAATTAAAATCATAGATCTAAATGCTAAGTAGCTAGCAACACTGGAAAAAAATTTTCATGAACTTGGGGTGGGAAAAGGTTACTGTATAGAATACAAACAACAAATTATAAAAAAATTTCTCATAAATCAATTTTGCTAAAACTACAAATTTCTTCTCTTCAAAAAACATCATTAAAAAAAAAACTCTTAAGTCTGACTATAAGAATATATCTGCAACACACACAACTGACAAAGGACTTCTATCAACGATAAAAAGAACTCTTAAAACTGAGCCAGATGACCATCTAATAAAAAAATGAGCAAAGGATTTTGAATAGATACTTGAGAAATCAAGTATACAAAAAGATGTTTGATGCCATTAGTCATCATGGAAATGCAAACAGAAACAGTACACTTTGGCACTACACACTTATCAGAGTGGCAGCAGGCAGGGGTTAAGTGTTGGCAAGAATGTGCAGAAACAAACTCTTCCTAACTGTTGGCTAAAAAATGTAAATTGGTACCATTTCTTTGGGAAAAATGTGTCATTTTCTCATAAGGCTGAATATATACCTACCATATGACCCAGCAATTCTATTCCTAAATATTTACAACAAGGAAAATAAATGTCTACACAAACACTTGTGTAAAAATGTTCACAGCTGCTTCATTAATAACCTAAAACTATAATCAATCCAAGAATCCTTCAACAGATGCATGGATGAAGTATGGTGAAGACGTATTAACCAGGTAATAAAATCTTACTGAACAATAAAAAGAACAGTCTATGACCTATGTAGCAACATGGATAAAGAGGTCACACACTGTGTAGTTCCATTAACATGAAACTATAAACCAGACGAAACTAGTCTATGGTGGCAGAAAGAAGGCTGGTGTTCAGGGGTGTAGAAGGGGCATACTGACTTAAAAGAACATGAGGGAACATTCTGGGAATATGGATGTTAAATCTGTATTCTAAATGATGGTGGCTGTGTGTGTGTGTAATTTTGTCCACATACACTGAACTGTACACTTAACATGAGTGTGTTTTCGTATATGAAAGTTATGTTATTTTAACCATTAAAAAAAAGCACATTTTCACGACTTAATTTTTCAGAAGAGGAGCTTACCTTATTGAGGGCAACAATGAAGGGACATTTTTTAGATTTCAAAAGGTTGATAGATTCAATTGTCTGGGGCTCCAAACCGTGCATAATATCAACAACTAAAATGGCAATGTCACAAAGAGAACTTCCTCTGTTTCTCAAATTACTGTTGGAAAAGGACACATAAATAGAAATCTTGAAATTAAATACTTTTACTCAAAGAAACTTAAAATTTTCACTTCTTTGTAAAACCTACACAAAAAGAACAAAATGAAGTACATGCATTAAATTCAAGTGGCATTAGCCCTTAACTTGCAAAATGCTTATCTGACAGTGAACTGACATTAGTTGCAATGACTTAGTTTCAGAAATTACTCCATTATTTCTGCCAGTTTAACTGACCTTTTTTGCACTAAGGAACATGGTCAAGAGGCAACAGAATAAAACTCCACCTGTAACAGGTTTCATAGGAGATAGACCAGGCATGTACTAGGATTTGCTCTTTCAAAATGGAAAAGACTACAAAAAACAAGTACCCAAATAAAGTGCTACTAACAAGTCAGTGACGCACTGACTTGTGAGGGCTGGTAGTTACAGGGACCACAAAATCAAAATAGTACACAAAGATTAATGACTAGTCAGAAGTCCTCACTCACTGAATGTTGAGACTTAATGGTTTCAAGCAGTGTGCCTGCTGACAAAAGACACAAATCACTCTTACCTGAAAGACTCATGCCCCGGAGTGTCAATAATCAGCATTCCTGGAATCCGTACATTCTCTCGATCAAACTAGAAAAAGTAGGAAAAGTGGAGAGCTTACTTAACAAAGAACCAAAACAACAAAAGCATCTTTACAAGACAATTATTCTGCCAGGAACTTCAAAATAACAGCACTTCCTTTTCCAAATGAACTGCTTTAAAATAGTGAGTCAACCAGCAAAGCACAAAAAAGTTAACATTTTCATTAATATTAAAAGGAGTTTTGCAGGAAAAAAAGTGAAATGAGAAAAAGTCCCCTTGTTAAGTTAACTTTGATGTAATCTAAAACTGAACAGATTACTTGTAAGGAACAAATGACAGAGGAGTCATCTGTGATTATCTATAAAAAGCTAACACAGAAGATGCTCTCAATGTTTGGAAATTTATCTGGTCCAATTTTAGAGCAATTATAAACTCTGAAAAATACCCCAAAGTATGTTTTAAAAGAAAATTAGCATATTAAAATATTAAAGAATTAAGCTCATATCCTGCTTATTCAAACGTCATTATAAAGACTTGATTTTCTGAACAAAAGTCCATGAACGAATGGAAACAGCATTACACCTGAGTATCCATCCACTGGAAGGACGGATGCTGAAGCTGAAGCTCCAATGCTTTGGCCACCTGCTGTGAAGAACTGACTCATCAGAAAAGACCCTGACGCTGAAAAAGATTAAAGGCAGGAGGAGAAGGGGACGACAGAGGATGACACTGTTGGATGATATCACCAACTTGATAGACATGAGTTTGAGCAAGCTCCAGGAGTTGGTGATGGACAGCGAAGCCTGGTGTGATACAGTCTGTTGGGGTCTCAAAGAGTCGGACATGACTAGGCAATTGAACTGAACTGAACTGAGATATGGACATCCTCTTTTAACCTGAACAGTAGCACCGACCAACAAATCTCTCACTCATACACACACAGAACTTTTTTCACTTTGCTTATCTATACTTTTGTCAATCTTGAAATGATTTTCCCAAACCTTATTTAGGGATCTAGATCAAAATGATTCAAATACAAAACATTTCAATTTTGCATTCTGGTGGTCTTAAATCAAAATGTGCCATGATTACTTTCAGTTCACTGTCTGGAATACAAACAATATAATTACAATTGTCATATAAAGGTTATCCTGAGAACTTTAATACAGACCTAATAAAAATCATGCTATTTAACTATGTTCTGAAATAACACCAGGTTTCAGGATCAGAAAACTGATGGAATAAGCTATTATAATTCCTCAGGAGCTAACGCAGACAGGTAACAGATAAACACTACCAGAATCAAATTTAAATTACAAATTCAGAAAACTGCAATTCAAGAAAACTATCCTAAAATAAAAAATTTCAACTATATACTAAAAAGGAACACCATATAACTAGAAAATTGACCCAGAACAACCAATACCAAGATGCAAAAGACCACACAGCTTATAAGAGGATGAAAGCCAGCTTATATTAAAGCTCGAAAGGTGATGCTTTATGTAAGAAGAAACTGGAATAACAGTCAATACATTTAAGGAGAGAAAAGGGGAACCAAGGATTTACATGCAGCCAACTGATTTTCCAGGATGAAAGCCACAAAGTAACGCTTCAATGTTCAAAGAACTCAAGCAATATTACTCCCATTACTCCTTTAGGAATCTACCAGAAAAGAAGCTTCATAAAACCACTTCCAACAAACAAAACAAAAACTGGAGTGACCCACTCACAGAGCCTTTCTAAACAGAGTTGAGACTAAGCAAAGAATGGAGACAGACACCAGCATGTGACAACACGCTGTGTTACACCAGAGCCCACGGAGGTCACCAGAGACAAATAGGACCACTTGAACAGTATCAAAAACACAGAAGCCAATCACTCCTAGAAAGATGGAACTACCTCGGCATAGTAAAAACTGAAATGGATTAAAACACAGTATAAAGAAGTTGAAATCCATGAGTTTATAATAATATAAAACCAAACCACTCTTTGTTTGAAAAGCTGGGACTTAAAGGTGAAGGATCAGGCCTTTCCCCCACATCCCATCACTCTGAAACCGAACAGCAGATGAGGACTCTGCAGAAGTAATCAAATAATGGGATCGGAATATCAACATTTAGAGATGACTTTAAAAGCTAATCCTGGGTGGAAGAGGAAGACTCGGATTGAACAGGGACACAAGGCTTCTGAAGAAACTGGCAAGGTTCTGCCCAGAAGCTGAGTAACACAAACAATGTTTGATTCACTAAGCTTTACATTAATCTTATGTGATTTTCTCTCATGTTATATTTAACATAAATAAAAACTGAGTATTTCCAAAGTTGAGAAATAGGAGATAAAATCAGAAGAGTGGGGGAGGAAACACAATGTTTAAACATGGAGACCCATGATAAAAGTATTAAAACAAGGAAATGGCATACTTTTAACAAAGAAAAGCGACTGCCTCTTGGAGCAAGAGGGAAGGAGGACTCCTACAATACTTAATGCTTTATGTCTTTAAAAAAAGAGACCTGAAGGGCAACGTGGCGTTTGTTATTTATGAACGGTGAGCTTATGGGTCTGTGATACTATTCTGTTCTTTTTTCTATATGTAAAATTATCTATAACAATTTTTGTCAGAGATTAAGACACACGAAATATAGTGCACTTACACTTTTAATCATCTTAGTTTGTTCATTAATAGCTTCAAGAGGGACATTGGTGGCACCAATCTGCTGCGTGATACCACCTGCTTCACCATCTTGTACATGTGTGTGACGGAGCTGGGATAAGAGAGCAGATTCCAAGTCAAATTTCAAAATGCAAAAAGAAGCAAAAGCAGTAAAACAACAGCTTACTTTTTGTAAACAGAACTGCCCATGTGTGCTATAGTTTCTATTAGCTTTTCATAAGGTAACATTCACTTATTCAGAGTTATGTATCAAGGCACACAACATTTTCTTACCTTATCTAGAATTTTTGTCTTCCCTGTATCCACATGTCCAAGTACACAAATAACAGGAGCTCTCAGCTTCTCTGTATTTACATTTTTACTGTGTTCAAGTCGCCGTTTCTAGGAACAACAAAAAAAACCACACACAAAATTAAATATTTCAAACCTTCACTACCATTTTCCTTTAGTTTGCCTTCAAAAGAGAATACCACAACCTGCATACAAGTTGTTTGCTGATTTAACTACATGTAACTGCATTTTACAATGTGAACTTTACAGTCTTTGAGCAAGGAGACACCTGTTTAGATTTCAGAGCAGCACTGCTAATTATGGATTAGAATGATGTAAAATATTGGCTCAAACTTTCTGAACACTTTTGTACATGGTTAATTTAATGGAATATAATAAATATTTTGTTCACACTTACTATATAGTAAAACCTCTAACTCATGTTGTTGTTTTTCTGTTGTCTAGTTGCTAAGTCATGTCCAACTCTTTATGACCCCATGGACTGTAGCCCACCAGGCTCCATGGGATTTTCCAGGCAAGAGTACTGGAGTGGATAGCCATTTCCTTCTCCAGGGGATCTTCCCAAACCAGAGATCAAACCTATGTCTCCTGCAGTGCAGGTGGATTCTTTACTGCTGACCCACCAAGGAAGCCCTGTGGGGGGGAGTTTATATAAAAAGAGGTATACTCTAGCATTCAAAAAAATTTCACTTCAAATTGTTAAAAATTTTAAAGCAATGTATTTCAAAACTCTATCCAGTGTACAAATGTACACAGCTACTGCAAGCTTCAGCCTAAGACACCCAGATGACACTTCCCACCTCCCTAAGGTACCTCTAAGCATGAGAAAGCCTCTTGAACCACAATGTGTTTATTGAAGCATTTATTTCTAAATACTTCAGTTTTCTGAGAACCAAACAAAAACACAAGGCAGCAGTTCCTCTTCAAAATGACATCCTTTCAAGTAAAGCTGGCATGCAGATGAAGGAGGACTTCTACAAAAAGTCTGAAGTAATGTCATTTACAAAACTATAAACCATTTTCGTAAGAACACTCTCATTTCTAGCATCAGACACTGAATCTTTCTATAGAAATTGTAATGAAAAAATATTTTGGAATGCCAAAAGAGAGATGCAGTTTACTAGCAAAGAGCAGTACGACAGCTTCACAGTATTTATGACTCTCACTTTCCCTGGTGGTCCAGTGATTAAGAATTCACCAGTCAATGCAGGGGACAACAGTTTGATCCCCGGTCCAGGAAGACTCCACGTGCTGCAGAGCAACGAAGACCGCGCCCCACGACTACTGAGTTGGCGCTCTAGAGCCCACATGCCACAGCTCCTGAGCCCGTATGTGCCCAGAGCTCCTGCTCCCCAGCAAGAGAAGCCACTGCAAGGAGAAGCCTGTGCACTGCAACTAGAGAGCAGCCCCTGCTTGCTGCAACTAGAGAAAGTGTGTGCAGCAATGAAGACCCAGCACAGCCAAAACTAATAAACAAAAATCTAAAAAAAAAAAAAAGTATGACTCAAAAGCAAACATCATGAGCTTAGTTACAATCTATGAAAAATTACTGGAGTAAAAAAATTTCAGTGTAGTGCAGCATATAAGATCAATCTACAAAAATCAACTGCATTTCTTTGTACTAACAATGGAAGATTAAATAGTGACTCCCCTCACAAGAGCATCAAAAAAACAATATATGTGACAATAAATTTAACAAAAGAAAAATAAATCCTACACTCTTGAAACTACAAAACATTGCTGGATGAAGTTTCAAAGGGTCTAAATAAATGGAGAGACAGCTATTTCCATGGATTGGCAGATTCAGTATTAATAAGATGGTAATACTCCCTAAAATTGATCTACAGATTCAATGCAGTCTCTATCAAAAGTATGAGAAGACTTTTGCAAAAACTGACAAGCTGATTCTAAAATCTGAATGGAAAAGCAAGTGACCTAGGAAGTTGAAACAATCTAAAAAAGGAGGAACAATGTTGGAAGACTTACATTACCCAACTTCAAAACTTATCATAAAAACTATAGTATCAAGACAGTGTGGTACTGACATAAGAAAAGATGTACAGATGAATTAAACACAACTGAAAGTACAAAAGTAAACCCTCACACTTCTGGCCACTTGATTTGTCAAAGATGAGGAAGCAACATAAAGAGGGGAAGAGTCGTCTTTTAAACCAACGGTGCTGGTTATCATTAAAAAAATTATCTAAGTCCTTACGTTACACCCTACATAAAAATTATCTTAAAATAGATCATAAAGATACAAGGAACAAAAAGTATAAATCTGTAAGAATAAAATCACAGGACAAACTATTCATGATCTTGGTTTCAACAAAGATTTCTTCAATACAACACCAGAAGAATAACTTATGCTCTAGTAAAAGAAAAACTTATTAGATGTTATCAAACTTAAAAATGTATGCCTTTCAAAAAGAAACTGCTTAAAATGAAAAGAACTACTCTTACAACACAATAATAAAAAGACAAATTCCAAAATTTAAAAATGAACAAAAGTTTGAATAGATGCTTCAACAATTAAGATTATAGGAATGGCCGAAAAGCATACAAAGAAATGATTAACATCATGGAAATGCAAATTGAAACCACAGTTAGACACACTGCTTCACATCCCTCTAGAATGGTTACAATGGGAAAGCAGATAATAACAAGTATTAGTGAGGATGCAGAGAAATTAGAACCCTCAAGTGGTTAACATCTTTAATTGTAGAGCCACTTTGAAAATGCAGTTTCTGAAAAAGCACGAATTTACTATGTGAGTTAGCAATTTCACTCCTAGAAGTGCTAAATTTCTAGGATTTTAAAAAATTCACTCCTAAATATTGTTTTTATTCAAAAGTAATAAAAATATATTTCCACGCACAGACTCCTATGAGACCATTTTGTAACAGCAGTACAAATGCCAAAAAGTGGAAACAATTCAAATGTTCTTTAACTGGTAAATGGACACTAATAAAATGTGGTAATATCTATATGTAACAGAACACTACTGTCAGTTAAAAGGAACACAGTATTGACAGAACAGCAACACGAATGAATAGGCTTAAGTGAAAGAAGCCAGGCACAAAAGACCATGTAATATAAAGCTGTATTTATGAAGAAGTTTCTGGAGAAGATGCTCTCCTGAGGCAGAAAACAGGTGAGTAGTCGCTTGGAGGCAGGAATGGGTAATGACTAGAGATTGGTAGAAGGATCTTTCTGGGGTGATGAACATACTCTAAAACTTGAGTTATGGGAGTGGTTACACAACTCTGTAAATTTACAAAATGTCACTGAATTGTAAACTAAAAATGGGTCAATTTTACAGTATGTAAATCACATCTCAACCAAGCCATTTAAAAAAAGCCAGGACTTCCGTGGTGGTCTAGAGGAATCTGCCATATAGTGCAGAGACACAGGTTCAATTCCGGGTCCTGGAAGATCCCACATGGCACAAAGCAACTTAAGCCCATGAGCTGCAACTAGAGACAGTCCGAGCGCAGCAACGAAGACCCAGTGCAGCCAAAAACGACTTTTAAACTGTTGAGCTAAAGAGGACCCGTGCATGTTGTTAAATGGCAGGGGGTGGGGCGGGGTGGGGGGTGGAATGCATCCACTAAATTTATTACTTTATTTTTAATTAATTTTAAAAAAATCATGAGGTTCATAAACAGATTCACTGCCAAGGGTAGTTCTATCTCACTAGGGAGTGAGATAATAGGGAACTCTTACTTTCTGATTATACCCATTCTATTTGTAAATCATCAAGCACAGTATACAATGTCTGGCCAAAGCAGGTGCTGTGGGAAGAAGCAGAGACACAAGCAGCAGAAGGGAGGGGATCTAGAGGGTGCTCAACATCCTAAAATGAAGAGGACAGTCCCCCACAACACAGAATTCTTAGGCCCAAAAATGTCAATAGTGCTGAGGCTGAGATACCCCAATTAACAGTAACAGACTTTGCCAGTCCTTTAGAAATTTGGAAAATGTATTCCTAACTAAACTTTACAGAAGGAAAAGGCAAATACTGACACAGAGGTATTAAAACACAAACTGAAAGCTAGAATTACACATGAAAAAATTAAGGAAAGCTAAAAACAATTTTTAGTTTTAAAATAGTTCAGCCTCCTCAAAGCAAATTAGTTTTTAGTGTATCATTTATGCTAAGCTGACATAACTAGAGAAAACTTTCTCTTGAAGTCTAGCAGTAGTAGCAGAAGTCTACTGCATTAAGGGAAAACAGTAAGTGGCAGGGTATGTCAACTTGACTAAATGGAAGGTTCATTAACCCACCTGATTTAAACAACTGAAGGGACCACATGCGTCAGAATGACTAAACATAAGGCAAACACTCAGAGCACGTAAGCTCAGAATACCTCTGTAAACCTGTAAAAAATCTCTCAAAGAGCACACTAAAATTCGGATTAAAAAAAGGAAAAACTGATAAAGCAGTCATCATTCCATCTCAGCAAACAGTGAGGTCCTTGGGTTAGACCAGTGTCAAGGACCTATTATGTCTCAGCATCACAAAAACTGAACAGATACCAATCCAAGACTATTTTTTAAATTGCTCCTCAATAGAAGCCTTAGTTGTAAAGTTCTCATGATCACAGAGGAAAGGGGAGGAAAGAAGTTAGAGAAGAGGAAAAATGAATACCTCAATCCTGCGTTTTGCTTTGTCATAAGCCCGCTCTTCTTTAGTTCGATCGTCATCAGAGTCATATTCGGACTCTGAGCTCACGTCTTTACTTGGCTTTTTATCTGACGTCTTCCCAGCATCCTTCTCATCTGACGCCTTCCCGTCGTCGTCGTCGCCTTCACTGCCGTCACTGTCTCCCTCCTCCTCCTCCTCCTCCTCACTCTCCTCCTCCTCCTCCTCCTCCTCCTCATCCTCCTCCTCCTCCTCAGGATTTTCTTTTACTTCTATGTGCACCGTGTTTTCTTCTTTCAGGAAAAGACATTTTGAAATAAACCAAAGTTAAAAATGAGGTTTCTATTAAGATAGAGACCTTAAAGACAAAATAATACCGAAACTGTACTAAATAAGGCAGTTACATTTTACGATGTAATTCCAAATTTATGTTTTCATACATCATAAACGCAAAGTGTTTTGTCTACATACTACAGAAGACTGCCTTTTAACAGTAAAAACTTAATGCATTAACCATACTTGAGCTAATAAAAAAAGCAAAGCATCACTGGCCAGGACACAGTCGGGATACACTGTCCCAGAGAGGACAGAAACCCAGGGAGGGGAACACAATGTTTAGTACTTCCTCCCTCCCAGGGTCATCTGCAGACCCTAGAGGAGGCAGCTGAAAGGCTATGCAGTGCTCTTAAAGGCATCTCAAAGCTCAAGGGTCCAGGCACTGGGGGTTCAGGCCTACCAAGGTTTCAGGGGGGCAAGGTAGATGAACAATGAGTAATGCCCTTACTGTGGGGTGAAATCCTAAAAAACTCTACTGTGGAAGTAAAGATAAACTGGAAGTAAACAGGACCTTCCCATTACTGATCACCTCCAGGTTCTCTAAATTCCAAATGTGGAATAAGATGATTCTATACTGCTAGTTCACTCAGACTCCTGGTAAATGTACATATAAATTCTCTCTGGAGTAAGAAAACATCAACTTTGCCATCAAATTATTTCTACAGTTTCAAGAAACTCAGGAGAAAATAAAAACAAACTGCGCTGTATCATAACAAAACTGATGAAAACAAAGACACATGGAAACTTCAGGGCAACACCTGACTTTTAAACAGAAACAATAAAAGCCAAGACAGGGACTAGTATCATCAAAGCATTAATAAAATTACAACAAAGAATTTCTCATTTAGTATGTCACCTTCAAGAATGAAGATGAGGGATTCATTCCCTGGTGGCTCAGAGGTGAAGAATCCGCCTGCCAAAGCAGGAGACATGGGTTCAATCTCTGTTCGATTGAGGAAGATCCCACATGCCGCAGAGCAACTAAGCCTGTGTACTACAACTATCAAGCTTGTGCTCTAAAGATCAGAAGCCCCAAGTGCTGAAGCCCCCACGCCCTAGAGCCCATGTTCCGCGACAGAAGGCACCGCAGTGAGAAGCCTGTGTACCACCACCTAGAGTTAGCCCCTACTTACCACAGCTAGACAAAAGCCCATGTGGCAATGAAAACTCAGAATAGCCAAAAAGAAACTTTAAAAAAAAAAAGAATGAAGATGAGATAAAGCTTTTTCAGAAAAGCAAATATGGATAGTCTCTGTAGCAGATTCATACTGAAGGGAATTCTAAAAGATACTCTTCAGGTTGGAAGAAATGACCCCAATAGAAAGTCAGAGATTGGGGAACAAAAGAAGCACCACAAAAGCTAAGAATGTGAGTAAACTTCAATATATACCCATTGTCGTGTGTGTGTGTTTTAAAGCTTCTGGCATTTAAAACGAGAATTAAAGTAAATGAGAACAATGGTATATAAACTGAGAACTGTTCAAATGTAATTTATGTATTCTCTGGTCTTTATCTTGCCTGGAAAGAAGGTAATAGATGTTGATACTTCAGAAGTCCACGTTAAAACTGTCTAGAGTAACCACCGAAAGTAAGTAGAAAAGTACAAAACGTCCAAGCTCATGAAAGGGCAAAAAAAGGAATTTTTTTAAAAAATCAAATAATCCAAAAGATAGTTAGAAAGAAGAGAAAAACAGAACAATTAAGAAGAGTAAGATGATAAATATAAAATCACTAAACTTCATTAACTGTATTAAATGCTAGATGTAATCAGCTAAGTACTCCAGGTAAAATAAAAAGTGACAAACTAGATTTAAAAATCTCAACTATATGCTGTGTAAGGAAACAGAAAGTGTAATACAGACAGAAAAAATCATGTAAATTAAAGCTGGTATAGCTATATTAACATCAGATAAGGCAGACTTTAAGAAAAAAGACATTACTAGAAGTAAGTGATAAAACAGTCAATTCATCAGAAAGATGTAAGATTACATTCATTTAATAATACAGCACAAAAATACATAAAGCAAAAATTAATATGACTCTCAGAGAAAAAGACAATCTATAAGCACAATGGGAGATTTAAGTATACCACTCTCAGCGAAAGAGAGAAAAGTATACCAGGAAAAAAAACTCAGAAGCTGAACAAGATAACCAGCAAACTAAATATAGATAACAAGGCCCTCAACTAATGCAGAATATAAATTCTTTCCAGTCACATGAAATATGTAAAATAACCACCCATTTGTTGGGTTGTAAATTAAGTCAACACAATTCAAAGGACAGAAACATGTGTTTTTCTGATCACAAAGAAACAACAAAGATATGTAAAGTCCTCATTTTCATAAATTAAGAAATAAACTTTAAGTAAATTACAGGCTAAAATATCAAAATAGAAATTTAAAAATATCAATATATCAGAACTTAGAGAATTTGGCTGAAGCCAGGCTTAGAGAAAAATATGTAGTTTTAAAATAAGACTGAAAAAACAAAGAGCCAAACAGTCACTTCAAAAAGTTAGGGGAAAGCCAGCAAATAAAACCCTAAAATAGAAGCCAGGAGGAAATGACCAGGAAAACCATTTTTTATTCATAGTGATTAAGAGGAACTCTACTATCTTGTCTATATTATCTTTGTATTATTCTATTTTAAGTTAAAGAGCTTTAATAACTTATTCTCATTTGTAAAAATCACCATTCTGGGAAAAAATGCATTCTAAATCCTAGGCAACTATCTTACAAGTCACTTTCTGAAAAACCATTTATTAATAAAATCAGTATCCACTGGGGAATTTAGGAATTAAGGCAAAGGAAAGAGCCAGACTGTCCTCTATCTCCAGGAATGCGCGTGCAGCTTTCACAATCAAGAGACTACTCCTTTAAATACAGACACGTCACCAACAGCCAATGGGCTTATCGGCGTGCACTTAGGAGCTACTCACCTGTTTCTCTCTCCTCATCACTAGCCATAGCTTCCCAGTCATCCAACCCAGCATCCTCTGTTTCTTCTTCCTCTTCTGTGGATCAAAGTTTTCATTAAGGACATAAAAATTATCTAGATATTTAAGATTGCTTTTAGGAAAAACAAATGCAGAAAACTATACTGACATTTAAAAAATGCTTTAGTTATAAAAAAGATGTATATAATTTCATTCTTTGCAACTATTTTTCAACATACTTAGCATGTTAAATCCTTTACTGTCACTAAATGCTTCACAATTTCCTCATGTTTTGAATACAGTATATTAAACTTAACCCAGATTTCATATCTGAGGTAAAAGACTGCTGTTCAGTCGCTAAGTCCTGTCCAAAATATTAGCAACTCATTGAAATGTTCCTTTAGATCTTGAAGAGGGCACATGATGGCATTCAGTTCCTGAGGACAAATAGAATTTCACATATATCTTCTTTTTGATCTTCAAACTATATACATAAGATTGTATTGTTTATTTAGCTTTAACCTCTTCAAATACATACAAGTATTACTTAAATTACACAGTTGGAGGTACAAATCTACAGTTCTATTCCAGCTGAAAGTAAGAACAGCATGTGCTTATAACCCAAAACTAGCCAGAAAGGTATAATTTTGAATTTAAAGACTATAAACTCTCCTTATTAACAAAAATGACTCTCTTTTTACTTAAATCTAGTCAAGCAAAATTATTCTCAAATGAAAGAAAGATGAGGGTGGAACATGGGGTGTTTGTTTCCCTGTCATAATTACTACTTGCCAACAAGCCTGGATACATTTTCCTGAGGAGGAGGAAATGAGTCAGAAACATGAACCCTAAACTCCTAAATTAGTAACTCTTTCTACTGCTACAAATTGCCACCTAAGGTAGTGAACTCCCATTAAGTCTATCAACATGAATGTCTTTGATCTCAGGTTTAATGTGAGGTTAAGCTGAGGTGTGTTGAGGAAAATGATCCTTTTTACATTGAGAATAGGAGGGGAAGGAAAAAAGGTTCATTTGAACCAATGAAGCCAAAAGGTTCATTTGGGTTTTTCCATAACATCTTAAAATAAAGCCTGAGTGAATTTATTGGCCAACCCAGTATCTTTCACAAGTGTAGGTCAATCTTTTAAAAAAAAGATAAAACTTTTTGTTTTGTATTGGGGGTACAGCCAACTAATGATGTTGTGATAGTTTCAGTACAGCAAAAGAACTCGGCCATATATATACATGAATCCATTCTCCCCCAAACTCTCCCCAGTCTGGGTCAGTCTTAACATTCTCTAAAGGAACTCCTACTCCTATCTGTAAACACCAGAGATTCTCCTGATTTTACCAAACATACAATTTAGCCAGCCTCTGGCTCTCCTAGCAACACCTAGTTTCATGAATTAGAACAATGTTTAAAGAAAAAAAAAAAAAATCCAGAGATGTTTTCTAATCTCAAAATACACATATAGAATGAATAAACTGAATCCTCTTTACTAATTTAGTAAACAGAAGCTGACCTCTAAATATTTTAAAATGCCAATTCTTATGATTCTTCGTAAAAGGTCTAATCAAAAGGGCTCCCAATTTGCGTCCAAAGGATTTAAACAAAGAACTTTAGGTCTTTTTGGTACCACCTAAGAATTCTGACTCATAAATAAAAACATCAGAGAAAATCCAAATACCTCTATCCTTTCTATAAAACACTTCCAACACTACGTAAAGAACAAAAGTGATTCAAGTCTCACCTCTACAATTTTTTCAGAGGAAATGAAATGATTTAAAGAAAGAACTATAAAGTAAGAAGGCCATTCTGCCAGACACCTGGTTTCCGCAAACTAGTGATAAGCAAGACAACGCATGACACAGGAGCACTACTGGCCTGGTTCAACAGGGGGCGGTGTCTCCTCTTTTTCGGGTACTCCTTGTTCCACAACTTCTACAGTAGCGCTTAATTCCACTGGTTCAGAAACTGACAAAAGGAACAGAAACCAATGTAACAATACTTTTCAGTGCATTTTCTGTTAGGATACTCTGTTGTATTGAATAAAAACCAGCAGTACAATCCAAATTCTTTAGTAAGTTTACAAAACATTTAATACCAGCTATGGTTTTTTACAAACAGGAAACTAGTTTTTCTTTCTGACAAGACTGTGTAATTACAGAAGGTTGATAAGGAAACAGAAAAGAAAAAAAAATGATAATTATGCTTTTTGAGTCAAGAACAATTATTCATAGCATAGGACCCAGATTTTACAAACAGATGTCCTTTTCCATTAACCTGTCATTTGAATCAGTGGAGAATGATATTAATATTAAACAAGGTACAGGAAGTTGGTTTCAATATGCAATTCTGATGTGATTTCTTTTTGAGACTTCTGTTTTGAAGGTTATGGGGAAAAGGCAAGCAAAACTGTTTCTAAGTCACAGGTTTTGTATGCAAACCTTTATTTTCCATCTGCTGTGGTGGTTTTTTCTTCTTTTTATCTTCATAAATTGGCCTCTTCTTTGGCAAAGAGTCTTTTGATGGCACTTCAACACCTGAAGGATAAAATTGGAAAATTTCAGGGTTTATACTACTTGCTTGTCACCTAAGAAATACTATTTAAGAAGATAACATTTTATTCACCTCAGAGATACATACCCTAAAATATAAAGAACATTCATGGAAAACCTTCTTTTCAACATAAGGTATTTTAAACATGCATTAGAATTTCATCTTTTTGGTGTCTAGCTCTTTGACTTTTGACAAATGCTTGTAGTTACACAAGTACCATCATAATGAAGATGCATAACAGTTCCATCACCCCGGGCTGCTCTGGGAGGTCACTATTCACATCCTTAAGCCCCTGGCAACCAGTGATCTGTTCTCCATCCCTTAAGATGTTCTCTTTCCAGAAAGTCACAAAAATAAAGTTTTACAGTCTGGCTATCATTATAATGGATCCAAATCATCCTCGTTACTATATGTATCAATACTTCGTTTCATTTTATGGTGAACAGTAGTCCAATTTATGGAAGGACCACAGTCCGTTTATTCAATAGACAGCTAAAGGGACATGAGTTATTTCTAGTTTTTGATATTACAAATAAAGCTGCTATCAACATTTGCACGTAGATTTTTGTGTGAACGTTTCTCTGGGATACACATTGTGGACTGGATGGGACATTAAATACATACAACTGACCCTTGAAAAACATGTAGGTCTGGGCTGCCAACCCTCCATGTAGCTGAAAATCTGCATATAACCTATAGTCAGCCCTCTGTATGCATGGTTCCAAATTCTTCAACTCAACCAATCACAGATCGTGTACTGTTGTATTTATTATTGAAAAACACCCTCACAATTCAAATCCATGTTGTTCAGAGGTCAACTGTATTTAAATCTGTAAGAAACTGCCAACTGTAGTGGCTTGACATTTCTGCATTCCCACCAGCAGCATATGACACTTAACTGCTCTTGCCAGCTTTTTGTAGAGACAAATGCTGGGTTTTTTTTAATTTACATATTCTAATAAATGCTTAGGGATACCTCATAGTGGTCTTAATTTGAATTTTCCTAATGGTTTCCCTCATAGCTCAGTCCGGAAAGAATCTTCCTGCAATGCAGGAGACCAGGGTTTGATTCCTGGATCGGGAAGATCCCATGGAAGGAAATGGCAACCGACTCCAGTATTCCTGGAGAATTCCATAGACAGAGGAGCCTGCCAGGCTACAGTCCATGGGGTCTCAAGAGTCGGAAACGACTTAGCAACTAAACCACCACCAATGGTGTCGAGCATTCCTTCCACATGCTTACAGTATCTCAGTGAAGTGTCTCGTCTACCTTTTGCCCCTTTTCAAATAGGATTGCTTTTCTTGTTGAATTCTGAGTTATCTTTATATATACATACACACACCATTTTCAAATGTGTGATTTTTAGGCATTATCTTTGATATTCTCTCAATGGTCTCTTGAATGGCAGAAGCTGTTACCTGGACTTTCTCAATTTTATGATTTTATCCCTTTTATGGATTATGCTTTTGAAGTTGTAACTAAGCACTCCCTGCCTAGCACAAACTCATAGTTTTATGTTTTCCTCTGAAAGTTCTTCAGTTGTATATTTCACATTTAAATCTACAATCCATTACAAGTTAAATTCTATATAATGAGTGGGACTGAGGGCTAGGTTTTTCGTTTTGAGCTTTATTTTTTGCACATAAATGTCTAATTATTCCACTATCACTTGTAGCAAACACCGTATTTTATCTACTGAATCATCTTTTCCTATGACACAAAGAAATGCAAAACAGCAAAATGACTGTCTGAGGAGGCCTTACAAATAGCTGTGAAAAGAAGAAAAATGAAAAGCAAAGGAAAAAAGGAAAGATATACCCATTTGAGTGCAGAGTTCCAAAGTATAGCAAGGAGAGATAAGAAAGCCTTCCTCAGTGATCAGTGCAAAGAAACAGAGGAAAACAATAGAATGGGAAAGACATTGGGAAAGAGATCTCTTCAAGAAAATTAGATACACCAAGGGAACATTTCATGCAAAGATGGGCACTATAAAGGACAGAAATGATATGGACCTAACAGAAGCAGACAATATTAAGAAGAGGTGGCAAGAATACACAGAAGAACTGTACAAAGAAAATCTTCACGACCCAGATAATCATGATGGTGTGATCACTCACCTAGAGCCAGAAATCCTGGAATGTGAAGCCAAGTGAGCCTTAGGAAGCATCAGTACAAACAAAGCTAGTGGAGGTGATGGAATTCCAGTTGAGCTATTTCAAATCCTGAAAGATGATGCTGTGAAAGTGCTGCACTCAATATGCCAGCAAATTTGGAAAACTCGGCAGTGGCCACAGGACTGGAAAAGGTCAGTTTTCATTCTAACCCCAAAGAAAGACAATGCCAAAGAATGCTGAAACTACCCCACAATTGCATTTCATCTCACCCGCTAGTAAAGTAATGCTTGAAATTCTCCAAGCCAGGCTTCAGCAATACGTGAACTATAAACTTCCAGATGTTCAAGCTGGATTTAGAAAAGGCAGAGGAACCAGAGATCAAATTGCCAACATCCACTGGATCATCGAAAAAATAACAGAGTTCCAGAAAAACATCTATTTCTGCTTTATTAACTACGTCAAAGCCTTTGACTGTGTGGATCACCACAAACTGTGGAAAATTCTTAAGAGATGGGACTACCAGATCACCTGACCTGTCTCTTGAGAAATCTGTATGCAGGTCAGGAAGCAACAGTTAGAACTGGACATGGAACAACAGACTGGTTCCAAATAGGAAAAGGAGTACATCAAGGCTGTACATTATCACCCTGCTTATTTAACTTCTATGCAGAGTATATCATGAGAAATGCTGGGCTGGAGGAAGCACAAGCTGGAGTCAAGATTGCTGGGAGAAATAGCAATAACCTCAGATATGCAGATGACACCACCCTTATGGCAGAAAGCAAAGAAGAACTAAAGAGCCTCTAGATGAAAGTGAAAGAGGAGAGTGAAAAAGCTGGCTTAAAGCTCAACATTCAGAAAACTATGATCATGGCATCCGGTCCCATCACTTCATGGCAAATAGATGGGGAAACAGTGGAAACAGTGACAGACTTTATTTTTGGGGGCTCCAAAATCACTGCAGATGGTGACTGCAGCCATGATATGAAAAGATATTTGCTCCTTGGAAGAAAAGCTATGACCAACCTAGACAGCATATTAAAAAGCAGACACTACTTTGCCAACAAAGGTCCATCTAGTCAAAGTTATGGTTCTTCCAGTAGTCATGTATGGATGTGAGAGTTGGACTATACAGAAAGCTGAGCACCGAAGAATTGATGCTTTTGAACTGTGGTGTTGGAGAAGACTCTTGAGAGTCCGTTGGAATGTAAGGATATCCAACCAGTGCATCCTAAACCAGTTCTGAATATTCACTGGAAGGACTGATGCTAAAGCTGAAACTCCAATACTTGGGCCACTTGATGCAAAGAACTGACTCATTTGAAAAGACCCTGATGCTGGGAAAGATTGAAGGCGGGAGAAGGGGAAGACAGGATGAGGTGGTTGGATGGCATCACCAACTCAATGGACATGAGTTTAAGTAAACCCTGGGAGTTGGTGATGGACAGGGAGGCCTGCGTGCTGTGGTCCAGGGGTCGCAAATAGTCAGACATGACTGAATGACTGAACTGAACGGAAGTGACGACACAAAGAAAACCTGACCAGACAGACAATTCTGTTCTGTCCTACTGACCGATTTGTTTACCCTTTAACCAGTAGCACACTGTGATTGTTGCAGTTTTACAGTCAGTTTTGAAAGTGAATCCTGTGAGTCCTCCAAGGTTCTTTCAAAAATACTTCGGTCGTTCTAATTCCTTTATCTTTTCACATACATTTTAGAAACAGCTGACAGATATCCACAGAATATTCTGCTGTAATTCTGACTGAGATTGCACTGAATCTACGAATCAGTTTGGGAACTGGTATCTTAACAATATCACACCTTTGGCTCTGTGAAAGCAACATCTATTTACATAGGCCTTTGATTATTTTCATCAGTGTTTTACAGCTTTCAGCATATAGATTCCACAAATACTAGAATTTTAACTAACTATTTCAATTTCTTTTATGGGTGAGTGCTACTATAAACAGTACTGTTGATTTTATACTGTTAGTATTTATATGTTAATTGCTAGCATATAGAAATACAGTTGATATTTGCATACTAGCCTATCTATAATCTTCTTAACCTCACTCACTAACTATAGGATTTTGTGGGGGATAGACTGCATGGAATTTTCTACGTAGACAACTGGCATCTATGAATAGACAGTTTGTTTCTTTCCAATCTGCAGGCCTTATTTTTTGCCTAATTGCCTGAATCACGACATTCCAGACCAATGTGGAATGATTGTGATGAGAGTGCATATCCTTGCCTTAATCACAATATTAGAGTTTATTAGTTTTCAGTCATTTAAAAGTAAGTGTAATTGCATATTTTTTGTAAATGTCTTATATCAGGGAAGGAAGTTCCCTTCTATCCCCAGTTTGTGGATTCTTATTATATATGAATACTGAATTTTGTGAAATGATACTTCTGTATATTGAGACAATCATGTAGATTTTCTTTATTAATAAGGTGAACTATTTCTTGATTTTTAAATACTGAACACCCCTGCACTACCAGGATAAAATCCACTTGGTCATAACAGACTGTCCCTAAATATATACATAAATATATGCAACATATAAGTATATTTATATAGTCGACCCTTGAATAACACAGGTTTGAACTACATGGATACTTGAACTCACATTTTTTTCACTAAATACTACAGTACTACAAGATCCACTGCCGGTTCAGTATGTGGATACAGACCGTGGATACAGAGGGCCAACTATAAATGTCCACACACTGGTGACTGCATGGAGAGCTGCCTCTGACTCCTAGATTGCACAAGGGTCAACTGCATTGCTGGAATCACACTGCTAATACTCTGCTGAGAAATTTGCATCTCTGTTGAGGGATATTGATCTAGAATTTCCTTTCTTGTAATGTCTTTGTCTCACTATGCTGCTGCTAAGTCGCTTCAGTCGTGTCCGACTCTGTGCAACCCCATAGAGGACAGCCCACCAGGCTCTGCCATCTCTGCGATTCTCCAGGCAAGAACACTGGAGTGGGTTGCCATGTCCTTCTCCAATGCGTGAAAGTGAAAGTGAAGTCACTCAGTTGCATCCGACTCATAGCGACCCCATGGACTGCAGCCTCCCAGGCTCCTCCGTCCATGGGAGTTTCCAGGCAAGAGTACTAGAGTGGGGTGCCATCGCCTTCTCCAGTCTCACTATGACATAAGGATAATGCTGTCCTCATGAGTTGGGTGATTCTAGAAGATAATGTTCATAACTGGCAATATTTCTTCCCTAAATATTTGTTAGAATTCCCAAGTGAAATCATAGAGGCATAAAGTCTTCTTTATTGGACATTTTCAGCTAAGCTGAAATGTAAAGAGATATGAGTATATTTTAAATAGACACAGGACTATCTAGATTACGTGTCTGAGTTTTGGCAGTTTGCGTCTTTTAAGGAATGTGTACTTGCTACACACTCAGCAGTTACAGGCTAAACTATGAAACAAACCAGAAAGGTAACCTGCTGCACAACTCAAGGTCATTATCTGAAAACATCTGCAGATATACTCTCTTAGAACACATTTTTGAGCTCCATGAATAAGTTTATATATATTATTCTAGGTAATGAACATAGTAAATAATATTTATCTAACAAGGTGGCTTCAAAAGATATGGTCAAACATAACATGTAGTACTTCTTCCTTGAAGCAGACTCAATGAGCAGACTTTAAAGGACCTTTAATCCCAGGCTAGGAAGTTTGGATTTTTTTTTATTAACAGACCACACAGAGCCTGCACGAAGGCAAACACTGGGCAACATTATGAAGAATAAAGAAGGAGACTGAGGCTAGAGATGCCACACGAGACACCACCTCTTCCAAGACTGTCCTAAAGACAGATGCCAAGTTCATAATTTTAATTTTCATCTTATAGACACAAGTCAAACTACTCCATAAAATAGCATTTCCGAGACCGGCATACTACTCTTTGCATGGCCCCATCCCAGCCTCTCCATGAGAAGTTTGTCTTCCAGTCTGTCAGACAGCCATCGGTTAAGTCCAATATTTGGATTTGCTAGTTGTACTCGAATCTGTTCTTTAGTTTCATTTTTTAAAATGCTATTATCACCAGTTAAATATAAAACTTTCTGAAATCTCAGTCCTGTGCTTCTCCAAATTTACTGCTTCCACCTGAACATAGCACAGAGGAAGTCCCACAGATAAGTTAAACCTCAGCTCCAGGACCTCCGGCAAGCTGTTCAAGTTTCCTGAGTCTCCATTTTTTCATCTATATGATGGAAATGAAGACTTTTATGAAGAATTAATGTCAAAAATGGCATCAGTTATATACTAAATACATTAATAAATGGTAGCTATTATTTTAATTATAGCATAAGCACCAAAATTACTATAATATAAAACCTGTGGAATACAGGGACAGGACATAAAGAGAATTCCCAAAACATTCTTCTCAATGGAGCAAAGACACTATTTTAAATCATCTTACCTGTCAAAGGCACAATTAATGAAATGTTCATATTATAGAATCTAAACTAAAAGGAACCAAGTTCCTTGGGTAAACAGTTGATTTTAAGGTCTAGAGAAGAACATGTACAAGGTGAACTTGAGATATCTCGTGGTGTCAGAAAGCAAGGAAGGGCCCAGGAACACTGTAGTCAAATGAAAAAGTCACAGGGACCAACCTGACTGACCTCCTCCGAGCCAAAGATAGCATCTAATCAAAATATCCAAAATGTAAATAACTTCAGGAGATGAAAACATATCAAATACATAAAATTCCATTAAGATGAAGTGTTCTACATCCAAAACAAAATTAAACTCATTGGTTAGCTTTGGAGGTTGTGGGGACAGCAAATGATTATTTTGTAAATCAGTAAAGAAAGGGAAAGAATTAAGCATACTTCCTGATTTTCCTATCACAATTCTGCAATTCCTAATGAAATAGAGGACATAGGCAATGATCACCAATTGGAATTTACATTATTAGATGAAAAATCAATGAAGTACTTCTGTAATGGACAAGGCTACCAAAGGTTAAACTCAATGATCAATCTTGACATCATTAGAAGCAAGACAACCAGATCATATGCCTACTCACATGAGGCACTGGGTGCCACACAGCACTGCTAAGTAGCAGCCCAACTGCTAGATCTAAAAAATTATAAGGTATAGAGAAATAAATTAGCCAACACCAGCAGAATGCAATTAGATAAATTCAGAACAGGGAAAATTCTAGAAAAAAATCCCGTATCTTGAACAAATAAATCAATCCATACCAAAAACAGAGGGTGGAAGTAGTACCAATGAGAGACATGCCAACCAAATGCAATACTTGAATCTAATCTGGATCCTGATTTGAACAAATCAATTATAAACAATGTTTTGGAGACAAGTGAAAAAAAAAACAACAGACATGAACAAAATCAAGACATCAAGGAACTTTGTTAAATATAATAATACACACTATACTATGTTAAAAAGGAAAATCTTATCTGTTAGAGACATATACTAAAGTAAACTGTGAGTAGAATAATACTGACTTCTGGAATTCACCTTAAAATACTCTGGGGTTGGGTGGGGGAGGGGAACAAAACAAGAATGGTTAAGTGTTAAAACAGTGATGCGTACATGGGGACTTGTTTCACTATTCCGTACTTTCATTTACAGAAATACTATCACTTACATGCAAACTTATCACAGCATAGAGTTCATCTCCTGAAATAATGAAATTATCTCACCTACTTACACTACTGGACTTTTTCATAGCCTTTTCACAGAAATTCTTCTGTCTCAATTCAATTCTCCTTTTGACCACTACAAAGATAACTGCTTGAGAGAACTCTCTGGACTGTTCAGTTAATTAAGAACACAACCTACCCTGAGCTTGTAAAAGTTTAAGGGTAGCTTCGGCTCTGGCTCTGGCTTCTCTCTGGGATTTAGTTAAAAGTTTCCCCTCTTTTTTCAAGCGTTCTTTCCTTTCCTTTTCTTTTTGCTTTTTCCTTTCTCTTTTTTCTTGTTCCAATCTTTCCTATAAAAGAAAACACAGCAGACAAAACTATTAGCTTAACAAATTACAAAATTTAAAAGCAAACATCCCACATTTCTAACAAAGCTCTTCAGATACATGCAGAGTATTATGTTAGGAACTTCCAAATGAAAGTATTTTAAGTGGTGTACATAATGAGTGTAATTAGTATCACATGAGGATAGACTATGTGTTGGTAATGATGCAAAAGCAACTCTTGTCTATATCCGAGGAAATAAGGCAGGATTTTCTGTACTGATCTTATTATCTATATCTGAACAATAATGTAACTGAACTACCATGCAACCAAGAAAGTTTTACAATTAGAATGCTAGAGATGTGTCATGAGAAGAGGATTTAAGTAACACAGTGTCAATGTCAGCAACTTCACAAAAACACACCTCTTCTTTACGCTTGGCTTCTAACTCTTCCAGCCGTTTTATCCGTTCTTCCTCCTCTCTCTTCTGTCTTTCCTCCTCTTCTTTAAGCTTAGCCAGAGCTTCTTGCATAGCCTTAACTGTGGCTTTGCTAGGTCCTTTCTTCTTTTCTTTCTCCTTTTCTTCCTTTTCTCCTTTCTTTTTCTTCTTATCTTTTTTCTTTTTGTCTCCTTCATTGTCATCTACAAAAAAAAGAGGCAGAGTATTTTTAAGTCATTTCCTACAACAGTGGTGAGCAAACCCTAGAATCCAGGGACTACAATGGGCCAGCAGCAGACTAAGGTCTTTAGGCATCAAGGCCTCCTGAGCACTTGGGAGTAGCCAGTAGCTCAGAACAACCCAGCTGGCTTCCTTAGAAGCCTATGATGTTGGTGTTACTCTGAGTTATCCTAAGGGATTCAAGAAGACAGCAGGATGCTGTCAGAAGGGAGAAGATACACCGTACCTAGTGCTTCTGTAGGACGGAGATGATAAGAAGTCTACCTTAAGGGGACAGATATTAGGATAAAACACAAAAATACAAATATGTTCCAAGAACTCTACAGCATTATCCTAAAGAATTAAAGATTCTGAAGCTACATTCATGATGGTTCTCCTCAAAGATGCCTAGACAATAAGAATTTGAGAGGTTAAAAAGCTATGCCAATTTTCCCGTCAAAAGTTTTCCAGTCTAAAAGAAAAATTATGTAAATCATTTGCTCTTTGTTTTCATTCTGAATAAGAGGGGGAAGTTTAACTAGATAGCTTTTTTTTGTTAACTGGTTCCAGTACAAAAACATGGCTCACTATTGCTTAAAAGACGTTAACTAATTTCAGTATATTGCTTTTCCATTTCATTTTCATTTGAAAACCTGAATTAGGTTTTTAATAACAGGAGAGAATTCAGGTATCATCTCACACTGAGTTATCAAAAGGAACAATAAATTTTTCATTAAGCAACTTCCAGTCTTCATCAGCAGCAAAAAATTGTTTTCCAAAGTGAAATTCCACAAAAATCCTACTTTGTGTACAACTCATTTGAAAGATATTTTATACTACATACATGTTTAACAACAAAAATCAATTGAAAAAGAGTACTTAGACTAATTTTTTTTAACACATCTTACAACTCAGTACCTTTATAACCAGGATAAATAACAAAATGATTTTGGAGCATAACAATCAAAATTCAGATTAACTGGAGACTTCCCCAGTGGTCCAGTGTTTAGGAATCCTCCTGCCAATGCAGGGGACAGGGTTCAATCCCTGGCCCAGGAAGGTCCCACACGCTGCGAGGCAACTACGCCCATGCTCCACAACCACTGAGCCCAAGCTCCTAGAACCTCCTGTGCTCTGCAACGAGAAACCTCCACAATGAGAAGCCCACCCTCCACAAATAAGGGCGTATCCCCCGCTCATTGCAACTACAGAAAGCCTGTGCGTAGCAACAAAAACCCAGCACAGCAAATAAATAAAGGAACTAATTATGAATTCAAGCCTCTGACCCTTCCGCCAATATTATTACCAACCTTCTGCGCCTGTGGGACCCTCTCCTTTCTCTTCAGAGCCAGGAGCTGCTCCAGAGTCAAGTGTCACTTTGGACTTCACAGCTTCCTCCTCAAGTTTCCTCTGAGATTCTTTTGGTTTACCCTGATCCTTTTTACCAGACTCCAGCTCTTCTTTTTCTTTCAGCTTCCGCAGTTTTGCCTTTTCTTCATCCCGTTTTTTTCTCTCACGCTCTTTCTTCTCTGCCTTCTTTTGAGCCACTGTCTTAATTTTGAAGGAGTCATCATCTTCATTCCCGCTCTCGACAGTAGGACCTGGTTTGTTTTTCTGATTCTTTTTCTGTCCTTTCCTGGATTGCAAAAATTCATCTGATTCATCACCACTTTCACCAGAAGAATGTGCTCTCATACGCTCTTTAATTCTTTTACTGTTATCCTCATCCTCTTCTGATGCATCACGCTTCTTATTTGATTTCTGAGCTTTCCCCTTCGCTTTTTTGGAGAGTTTATTAAAATCATCATCATCATCACTCCCAGAGTACATTTCCACTTTGGGTTTTGCAGTCTTTTTTGATTTTGAATCTTTTTCTTCCAATTCTTCACTATCATTATCTTCAAAACTCTGTTTTTTGCCTTTCTGTCCTTTCTTTTTCTTATCTTGTTTTGAAATGGGTTCATCTTCATTATTTTCTGTTGGCTAAAACATGTCCACTGTTAGAAATATTAACAGCATTATATTTTACTTTTTTTTAATAACTGAAGCTGTTCAAAGTCATGTACTTCATTAAGTACACATGGAAAAAACTATCAAACGAATTTTAAAATATGGTTCTTTCACAAGAATATAAAACTCAAGCAAATACCAGAAGCTGGCCTAGGACTCAAGCACATCTCACAGTCACTGTAAGTTTTGGAACCCAGGTGCTCTGAAGTAGACACTAATCACAGTCCACCTCACTACCTTCTTCACATGGCATAAAAAACCTAAGGGGGAAAATTGAAAAAAAAAGTATCTACCCCTCTCTCATTACTCTGAGGCTTATCCAATTTCAAAGGATGGAAAGGAAATAATATAGAATATGGAGGTAGAGTTGTGAAATGTTGGATTTCCAAATGTACCAATTTTATAAACTGGCAATATAAAGTGAAACAGCTTTAGATTCCCAAATAAAGCATCTTTATATCTGTGAAAGACTTCAAAATTCATTATTGCTTTCTTAAAAACTGTTTTCCCCCTTTGGCATCAGCTAGAAACTTCTAACCAACATACATGTATTGCTCAAAAATTTCCAAAGGCAGTCCCTAAAAATGGAGCTAGGAAGAAGCATGAACAAGTAACAGTGATCTGTATTCACCTTTACCGCAGCAGGTTCTCTGTCAGCTTTGATGCCTTGAGCTTCCCAAGACAATTCTTCCAGTTCTTTCAGGATATCATCTTCACTGGAAATGGGTTAAAATACAGTTTGAGACACTGACTCAGTTTAATAAGTAAATTTAGCACCAAAGCTAAGAAAAATCAAATATATTTAAAATCTACTTACTCAAAGTCTTGTCTTTTTTTCTCCTTTTTCTTTTTCCCCTTTGCCTTTTGAGGTTCTTGCTCCTTGGCAGCACCAGCTCCTTCTATTTCTGCAGCCAAGGCATCAAGATCAATATCATCCTTGGCACTTAAATGAAAGCAAAGGAGACCCAAGTGTTACTCAAGACCAAAATAATATATCTACCACATTCACTTACAGAAAACATTTTTTCATTTTAGCATTTTTCATGCATTGGCAGCCCAGTGAAAAAAAATTCACTTGACAAGTTCTTTCATGACAACACTTGGGTTGTATTTATTCAGACTCTCTGCATCTTCAATGAAGTCTGAGTTACACTCAAACCCAGAAAGAGTTGTAATGAGGAGCTCCAGGGAGAAAATCTAGGTAATCAAGAAAAGGAAATTCATGCTTGTATTCAAGTAACCCTAAAGAAGAAAAGAAAACTCACTTTTGCTGACACCAAAGTTTCTTTTGTGTGTGTGAATATCTGAATGGAGTTATTTATAAAATGAAAAGAACTTAAAAGAGAAAAATATTATTATTTGATTATCAGTAAAATCTAAATCTTTGGAAATCTTTGTAGCTTTACTTGGAAAAGTAGAAATTTTTAGAGTTGAAAGGAAGTTTCACTGAGGGGAAACAAAGATGCAAAAAGTTTGAGTACTTTCAGCAACTCATGACCACACATCCAAATCTAAATAGGAATGACTGAGTAAATAAAACACATAAAACAGCCCCCAAATCCAGAACCAAACCTGCTCACAGTCTTTTACATTCCTGGTTTCGTTTCTGGTTCCATCCCCCAACATCCTCATCTGCCAATATTATTTTATTTAGAGCAAAACAAACTAAATTCAGTTAAAACCTACAGGAAACAAAGGTTAGTTTGAGACACACAAGCAGAAAAGGTGTATGAATTCAAATAATGATGCAGTAAGAAAACAAGGGCCTCATGCAACATGGCCTCCACTGGTAGGTGCCTCGTTGCAAAGGTGTTTCACTTGAACAAAAACAATTCCTAATATGAAATATGTAATTTTAAGATCTGGAGAAGGAAATGACAACTCACTCCAGTATTCTAGTCTAGGAAATCCCATGGAAAGAAGGAGCCTGGTGAGCTACAGTCCGTGAGATCACAAAAGAGTCAAGCACAACTTAGCAACTAAACAACAACAACAAATTTTAAGATTATGTAAAAAGACACTGAGGACACAGAATTTATACTCAAGAAGCTTCAAGGAGAGACAGAGAGAGAGAAAATGAGTAAACCAGGAACTGCAAAATGCTAAATGCCACAAAATAATTTAATGACTTTAAGTGACACATTAGAATTGAATGTGTTCTCTTTGGTCCTATATTTTACACAGTGTATTTGAGGGAGATTATGGAGAAGGAAATGGCAACCCACTCCAGTATTCTTGCCTGGAAAATCCCATGGACGGAGAAGCCTGGTAGGCTACAGTCCGTGGGATCTCAAAGAGTTGGAGACGACTGAGTGACTTCACATAGAATACAGAACCACTGTACTGGTGGTGACTTTCCAAAGCACCAAATCAAGAAAGAGAAAGTCAGACACTTTCCAGCTGAGGGAAATTCTGACCCGAGTTTCGGAAGGAAAAAAGAAGTTAACCAGGCAAAGGAGGCCCAGGTATCAGACACAATGAGCACAAAAGCCTAAGGGTGATACCATGCACAGGGCCTCAGGAGGACTCAAAAAAGTGCATCTGAACCCACCAAGAAACCTTTTACAGGCTATTAACTTCTCAAGGGAACCAGAATTTAGGGTGGGAGCCAGGCAGTGTACGTTTAGCTATCTTCCCAGGTGACTGCAAGTCAGATTTGAATTTCTTTCCTTTTTTAATAAATGAAGAAATTGAAGCACAGAGAACTTGTCCAGAATGAGACAAGGCAGAGATGGGATTTGAACCCAGGAAGCTCTGATTCTGAAGTTGAAGATCTTAACCCTGCTGCCATAATCAAATTCGCATTTTAGAAAGCTTCCTCTGGTATAAATGACAGGGCAGAATCCCAACTAGTTAAGAAGCAAGAGAAGGTAGGAAGCTTTTACAGTTAATTGGGATGACAAACTCCTGACTTGCAGCAGTGGCAGGCATGATGAAGACATACGAGTCAGGTAAATACTTAGGGATCAATCAGCAACACCATGACCAACTGAATATATACAGAAAGGGGAAGGGAAGAATCAAGGACAAATCTCAGGTCTCATCAGGTAACAGGGACCTAAGCCTGGCCCAGCATCAGCCATCTGGCCCAGCTTGAGATCAACCAGCACCATCTCCAAAGGCAGCCCTGCCAACATTTCACAAAACAGAAGTTTTACAGGGTGAGAAGGGAAGGTGAAGGCGATTAATGCTGAAACTTGGCACCTCACCTCCAGAAACTCTGTCAGCCCTCACTCACCTAATCAAAGCAGCTTATGGTTGGCTATACTGCCACAATATTCATTAACAAATAGCTCTAGTATACCAAAACAAAGAACTACATCTGTATGCCACTGAGTTTGAAAAGCTGATCCTGGGTAGGAAGAGAAATTAATGGCTTCTTAGTGCTTTCTGTGTCTCAGGCACTGCGCTGACCCAGTCACCAGACACACTATTTGTTATGCCATTTAATCCTCCTTAACAACTCTATTCAATTAAGCTTCATGATGACAGATAGTTTATAAAAGGCATCCTGCTAGAAACTCACACACCAGGAACTCAAGCCCAAATCTGACACCAAAACTGTAGTGACTTCCTAGAAAATGGGAAATTCAGTAATCAAGTTTCTGAAAAGTATTTGAGAAACCCAAATACAACTACAAAACATATCAATGATATAGCAATGCTTAACAGTCTTAATTACTGTGGTTTTTAAAGCATTCTTTCAATGTGTACAGAACTTCCTGCCCTTGATTCAAAAGAATGTCCTAAAATGTCAACCCTATTACAACAAGACATGAAAGTGACATTAGTGCCAGTGATCTAACTTGAAACTTTAAATCATACTCTATATACTGTCTACATTTCAGTCCTACTTTTCTACCTGTCCATACACACTACAGCTTGAAGATTTTAATGAACTAAGAGTCAAATCTAAAATCCAGTCATGCTGATAATGAACCCTTTAAAATCTTTAAGGAATCTGTAAGAGTATTTTTCCGTAGGTATATCTTTCTGCAGAGCACTTTTTCCTTTATTAAAGCTACAATATTCCTACCATATTTCCCCTATAGCTCCTAATCTTTTATTCCAAACTTACTGCAAACTTCCAGAAATAAAAGGCAATTTTCCATGGTACTCAATCAAGGCAGTGTTTTCAGAGGCCACACTCCTCCGTCAAGACAGAAAAAATGTTATAACTGAATGGCCTTAAAAAAATGAAGCTATTAACAATATTGCATGTGCAATTCAAGAAACAGCTGAACCACTTTCTGAGGTGGTTTCCCATTTAATATTCACACCAACAATACTGATTTATCTCCATACATACACCAACATCTACACTATCTCCACGGAGATACACATTTTCTCCCACACACCAGCCTATTATTTAGTATTATGGCTACTCTTCCTTTAAGTTGGTCTAGTAGATGTGTGGTGATAAAGTCTTCCTATTCAATTCCTTGAAGGCTAGAGAAGTTAAACACTGTTTCCTGTATTTGCCATTCACACACATTAAGTGAAATATCATGTCTTTTACCCATTTTCTAGTTGTAATGATTTTCTTTTAATGTTGAGTTTTCAGAACTCTTTTACATATGATTTATATATACTTTCTTCCAATTTGTAGCTCGTCTTTCTATCCACTTAACAGAGTTTTTAACCAGAGCAAAAATTTTGAATTTTCATGAGGTACCACTTATCAAGTTTGTTCTTTATGCTTTTGATGCGATGAAAAGGAACTTTTCACCAACTCTTAGGTCCTGAAGATTTTTAACTGTGTTGTGTTCCAAACATTGGGTATTTCGATGTTTAATTGATCTTTTGCCTTTGGGTAGCCAACAGCTCCAGCAACATTTCAACTACCCATTCAACATGGAATTGCCTTTGCACCTTTGTCAGAAACCACTCGGCTGTGCTCATATGGGGCTATTTCTAAGTCCTCTATTCTGCTCTATTGACTGATGTGTCCTTCCCTCTGACACTACTAAACTGTCGTGATTAATGTGGCTATAAATCTTGAAATGAAATGGAATGATTCCTTTCATTATCAGAATTGCTTTCTCTATTTTTAATTCCTTTGACTTTTCAAATAAATTTTAGAATATTCTTGGGCAAGTTTACAAAAATTCTTGCTGTGATTTTAATAGCAACTGCATTAACTGTACATGAATTTAAAAAAACTGACATCTTTACTATGTTCAGTTTTCCAATCTGTGAACACAGTATTTCTCAATTTATTTAAATCTTCTTTGATTTTTTTCATCAGTGTATGTATTTAATTTTTAAAGTAACCTGAACCGGTATTTTTGTTTCCACATCAGTTCAGTTCAGTCACTCAGTCGTGTCTGACATTTTACAACCCCATGGACTGCAGCACTCCAGGATTACCTTTTCCATCACCAACTCCCAGAGCTTGCTCAAACTCATGTCCATCGAATCAGTGATGCCACCCAACCATCTCATCCTCTCATCCCCTTCTTCTCCTGCCTTCAATCTTTCCCAGCATCAGGGTCTTTTCAAATGAGTTAGTTCTTCACATCAGGTAGTCAAAGTATTGGCGTTTCTGCTTCAGCATCAGTCCTTCCAATGAATATTCAGGACGGATTTCCTTTAGGATTGACTGGTTGGATCTCCTTGCAGTCCTAGGGACTCTCAAGAGTCTTCTCCAACACCACAGTTCAAAAGCATCAATTCTTCACCACTCAGCTTTCTTTGTAGCCCAACTCTCACATCCATACATGACTACTGGAAAAACCGTAACTTTGACTAGACGGACCGTTGTCGGTAAAGTGATGTCTCTGCTTTTCAAAACGCTGTCTAGGTTGGTCATAGCTCTTCTTCCAAGGAGCAAACATCTTTTAATGTCATGGCTGCAGTCACCATCTGCAGTGATTTTAGAGCCCCCCAAAAATAAAGTCTGTCACTGTTTCCACTGTTTCCCCATCTATTTGCCAAGAAGTG